TGTATTTTAACCTAGATAGATTGTACTCACTTCTCCCACGGACACAGCTTATTGATGGAGTTAGAGAATAACTGAAAGGAAATCTGCCTCCTTATATCAGCATGACAGAGGGGGCTTCCTAGTATCTATCCATACAGCGTGAGTTCTTAACCTCCCAACAAAGTAACAGTCATTCTTAGAACTCATTGATAAATTTCAACATCAAATATAAATTGTTCTCTTCTGTGTTTTTTTCCCTTATAAAACAAATTATGAACTATCCTTCATAATTTATTCTATATTTAAATAGCACTTTATAAAAAATGTTTATTTTATTGACGTAATGCTGTGCTGTAGTTAAAGATGGTATATGTCGTTAAAAAAATAGGAATTTTGTTAAGACTCTGTCTTAGGTAGGGTTCACTTTTAGTGAAACACTTATATCTTCAGAGACTGATGCAATGAGTGATTTTCCCAAGTCACCCAGGAAAATCTCTCATTTTTTCTGTTACAGATACATCCTTCATCAGTCAACACTTCTGTCTTGAAGTGGTGAATACTATTCCTTGAGATAGGAAAATATTTGGTTCTTCATGAATAAAAGTGTGTGTAATAGCAAGAGGTCTTGCTTGATGGTCTTCTGTTTTTCTCGACATTTTCCTTTCTCACTTGTCATTTTAATTGTGTTTCTCTCCTCAATTCCTCTACTGATCTTTTCATTGCATACCAAAATGTACCAAGTTAGGATTCTAGTATCAAGTTGACCTAAGCCATGTTGACTCATCTCATAAATCACTCTGAGGAGGAAGGAGTTAGGGGCCCAGGAGAACTTTTAGGATAAGAAGGGAAGCACTGAGATGAGGAGCAGTATAGTAAGCTATAGAAGCTATAGCTTATTGCCCGAGCACCATTAGAACATTGTTAGCTAAAGGGAAATAGGACTGTTTAAAATATCACCCTGACAAGGGTCATTTGGCATGATATGTGACTCTTTTAAATAGAAATGTTTTCCCCATGTTGTTTTGACAGAGATTCATGTGGAATAAATATTTGGAGTAGATTACACAGGACCTATAGTTGCCATGGCAACTCAGCATATCACACTGATGCTTTTAAGTTGTACAGACTCCTGTCCTTGGAATGTTTATTAAGTAGTCAGATAATGCCTGTTAACAGTAAACTGAAGCAAAATTCTCAAATAAACATATCCTCTCTGTAAAAATAACAACATTCACAGTGGCTAAATAACTGTAGAGTTTTGATATTTTTTTCCAGAGAGAAAGAATGCTAATTCTTTAATAATAGAAAGGATTATATGTCATCAGCCTAAGAGCTGGAACCAGAGATAATAGAGAGGATGTTAGGTTACTGTTTAAATCTAAACATTATCATTTCTTATTTGTTCAGATTTTCTTAACTTGATGAAGTTAAACCCCATTATGTATTAGATCTCTGTCTAATAGCAAAGTTCTATAAAGTTGAGAGCCATACTTAGGTTACAAAAATGAACAACCCTTGCTTGTTTAAAGTACTAGAGTAATTTAAAAATTCTGAGAAGACAATTTAAGTACCAATTTTAAATGCGCATGCCCTTGACAAAATGTCTCATAGAACTTCTCAAATAGTCAAGGATAAATGTACAAAGAAGTTACACCACAGCATTATGAAATGGTGGGAGTTCACAAGAACCTGCATCACTACAAAATAGGAAGAAGACTTAAATTTTGGTACTAAAGCAGTTTATTAAAAGTAGCTACCTTAGTGGTGCCCCAGCCCAGTAACACAAGATGGCTGCGGTGGCACTAAAAGGGTGAGGCAGAGGAGACAGAATGTGATGGGATGCAGAGCAGGGAGTCCACCCCCTTGTGACTGGCCCAACAGTACACTGTGACTGTGTCCATTTCTCCACCGTCAGTCTACCAATGCCCTGCCCAACCACGCAAGGCCTCCCTTCTGCCCAGTGAGATCTATTTAGCTAGAAAAGCTCACTCTCAAGTTTGCACTAAAGATACCAGAAAGATGAAAGAAGGGAGAATCTCATTCATCTTAATTTCTGGGGACTTAGCCCCCTGAGTATCAAGATTTTCTCCTCCCAAACTGAGGCAGCTTCTGCTTTCTGTCCTTTAGGCCAGTGGTTCCAAACTAAGACCCACTTTTGTTATATATGTATCCTTTGCTCCTTCCATGGATTCCTGTGATTGGAAAGATTATCTGCCAACCTTTTCCCCTTTCCGAATTAACAAAGCTTTCTGTAATTGAGTATATGCTAAAATCAGTGCCCTAGAGATGGAGGATATTGTAAGTCTTCTAAGGACTTTCTATATGTCTGGCACTGTGTTAAACACTTTACATGAATTGTCTAATCTTCAGAACAGTGCCGTAGGTAGGTTTTATTTACATTTTACAGAAAAGGAAACAGAATTAGTATTCTCAGGGTCACATAGTGTCAGAATCACATGTATAAAAAGTGTTTGTATTGGACAGAGGGTATAGTTCAATGGTAGAGCAGGATGCAAAAGGTCCTGGGGTTCAATCCCCGGTACCTCCATTACAAAAAATGTGTCTATATAAAAATGAATGGAAAATGATCTGGAATCTTGATTACTCGAGGGAGATGGGAGTGAAGAGCTTTCAATTTTTACTCTACTTATTTCTGCATGGTTTGAATTTTTTAATACAAGCATGTAGTACTTTTATAATTTTGAAAAAAAATTTTTTCTCAGAAATAGAAGACGAAAATTTGATGCTACCAGGCACTTAATGTAAACTGTCCTAAGAGGTTTTCCTCAGAATTTATAGATGAATTAGACTCCAAAGTAGATTTCAAAGGTGGGAACTACCCTTTAGCGACATTCATTTAAAATTTGTATAACTCAAGGGTACCTGGCGTGGAATCAGTAGCCAAAACAGAAATTTCTCTGAGCAGCACGTGAGACAGTTTTCATGGCATTCCTCCATTTTCTTTCCTTTTTTTAAACTCTTACTTTCTATTATTTTTCCTTTTCCTACTTTTGTTTATTTTTAACATCTTTATGTACTACTGGGGCAAACACCCTTTTTATTCTTTAATACTTTAAACGTGCATGGGATGCCCCTGGGGTACTGTCAGTTGCCTTTAGTAACCCTGAAGAATGAACTCTGCTCAGTAAAGTGAGGTGTAAGCATAGTCTAGATATGCTAAAATTAATTGGATATTAGATCAGAGTCTTACTTATTAAAGGTAAATCTTCCTAATACATGTTATCTTAAGAGAATCAGTCTTGTGTTGGTGTAGTCATAGAATTAAAAAAAAAAAAAGGAATTTTATCACCTTCTTTGGTCGATTTTTCCAAGCAGTCCAACTCTGGGCAGACTCTAGCCTCAAATGTGGGACACAGTGAGCTTCATATTTCCTACTAGTTGTATTTCTATCAAAAGGGAATGCCTCCTCCCTACTTCTGATTGTCACTTTAAAATGTTTTTTCCTTTGGCTTTATTGGGGGTGGGGAAATTATAGGCCCATCATGAGGGGTTTCATCAGTTATATCAGAAGTACAGTCATTTCCGTTCTTTTTCTCTCTAGCTTCCCATTGACCGAGGGGGAGGTGAAGGAAAGGCCATGTACATTGACACCGAGGGTACCTTTAGGCCAGAACGGCTGCTGGCTGTGGCTGAGAGGTAGGTTACTGGATTGGATGAGAGAAATATGGCTCCATCTGTCACTGTTGATTGCTAGGGTTAGTCTGGCTGAAGGGTGTCTCTTCTCTTATTGCCCCATATCCCAAAGTTGTATGTGTGTTTCAAAAGAGTAACCTTCCTTAGAGAAAAGCATTCTTCTTTAGTCAAAAATCTATGAGTTGCTGTCAGACTGGATAAAAAACAAGATCCAAATCTATGCTGCCTTTCAGAGAACCACTTTAGATTCAAAGACACAAGTTAGTTGAAAGTAAAAGGATGGAAAAAGATAACTGCATGCAAACTATAACCCATAAGAGACCTGAAGTGGCCATACTAATATCAGACAAGATAGACTTTAAGACCAAAAAAAAACAAGTAGAGGCAAAGAGGAACATTTTATAACTAAAAGCGCAGTACATCAGGAAAGTATAACAATTATAAACATATACACACCTAATAGAGCCCCAAATACATGAAACAAAAACTGATATAATTGAAGAGTGAAAGAGACAATTCAAGCATAATATTTGGAGACTAATGCCTCACTCTAAATTGTGGATAGAACGTTTATCAGATGTAGGGAACATCCACAAAAAACTTACAGCTAGCATCATTTTGGTGGTAAAAATCTGTTTTCTCCTTAAGATTGGAGATAAGGCACAGACCTCCACTCTCATCACTTATATTTCACATTGTACTGAAAGTTGTAGCCAGTGCAGTCAGGCAAGAAAATGAAATAAAAGGCATCCAGATTGGAATGGAAGATGTAAAACTATCTTTATTCACCAATGACATGATCCTGTATATAGAAAATCCTTAGAAAGCTATACACACAAAAAACTACCAGAACTAAGTTAGTTCAGGGTTATAGGATGCAATCTTAATATGCAAAAGATCCATAGTATTTCCATATACTAGCAATGAACAATTCAAAAATTAAGAAAATAATTCCATTCACAGTAGCATCAAAAATAATACTTAGTAATAAATTTAACAGAAGTTCAAGACTTGTACACTGAAAACTAATTGCTGAGAAAAATTGAAGATTTACATAAATCCACATTCATGGATTAGAAGATGGAATATTAAAATGGTAATTCTCACTCAGATTGATCTACGAATTCAACACGTGCCTATTGAAATTCCACCAAGCTTTTTTCAGAAATTGACAAGGTGACTGTAAAATTTGTATAGAAATGTCAAGAACCCAGAATAGCCAAACCGTTGTTGGGGAGAAAAAGAACAAAACTGGAGGTCTCGGTCTTCCCAATTTTAAAACTTACTGTAAACAACAGTAATCCAGACAATGTGGTGCTGGCATAAGGATGGACTGTGGATCAATGGAACAGAATTGAGAGTTCAGAAATAAACAGTTTCATTTATAGTCATTTGATTTTGACAAAGGTGAAAGACAATTTAGTGGGAGAAATAAGTCTTCAATAAATGGTGCTAGTGTAGTTGGAGTTATCTATATGAATGATAGTCCTAAATATGAGCTAAAACTATAAAACTACTAGGAAAAAAACCAGGAAAAAATCTTTATGACCTTGTGGTACGCAAAGATTTCCTAGATACAACACCAAAAACACAGTCCATGAAAGAAAAAATTATAATAAAGTCAGTTTTTCATTTCATCAAAATTTAAAACTTCTGTGCTTCAAAGAGCACTATCAAGAAAGTTAAAAGACAACCCAAAGAATGTGAGAAAATATTTGCAATCACATACCTGATAAGGTTTTAGTATCCAGAATATATAAAGAACTCTTACAACCTGACAATAAAGACTACCAATTAAGAAATGGGCAAAAGACTTCTATAGACATTTCTTCAAAGCAGATATAAAATGGCCAGTAGGCACATGAAGAGATGCTCAACATTATTATTTAGGAGGAAATGCAAATTAAAACCACAGTGAGATACCATCACTAGAATGGCTATAATGAAAAAGATAGTAACAAGTGTTGGGGGGGGATATAAAGAAACTGGAACCCTCATACATTGCTGGTGAGAATGTAAAATGGTACAGAGTCAATTTGGAAAAAACAGTGTGGCAGTTAAAACATGACTTGCCATGTGACCCAGCAATTTCACTCTGGTTATGTACCCAAGAGATGTGAACACATGTCCACACAGACATGTTTCTGGATATTCACAGTATTGTTATAATAGCCAAAACCTGCATACAACCCAATTGTCCATCCACTGGTGAATGAATAAATAAAATGTGGTTTATCCATACAGTAGAATAGTATTCAACACTAAAAAGAAATGAAGACCGATACATGTTACAGCATGGATGAACACGCTAAATGATAGAACTAGACACAAAAGACCACATATGATTCCGTTTATATGAAATCTGGAAAGAATCTGTAGGGACGGTATATTAGTGGTTGCCTGGGGCAGGGAGCAGCAACAGGAAGTAACTGCAGATGGACCTAAGAAATCTGTTTCTGGGTGATGGAAATGTTCTAAAATTGGATTGTGAAAGTCATTGAATTTTACACTTAAAACAGGTCAATTTTATGGTATATAAGTTACACCTCAGTAAAGCTGGTAAAGAATTTTTGCATTTCTACATCCCCTAATACAGCTTTCACATAAGCCCTTAAAATTGTTTTACTTAGTTTTTCCTTGTTAGGGTCAGATGTGATCATTTGATCCCTACCACACATTTTACTGAAACCTAGTGATTAAATAGAATTTAATTGCATGTTGAGACGTCAGACTCATGTTGGAACCTGCCTGGCTAAGTTAAGAATTTTCTTTTCTAGTTTTTTAATTATAACTAGGTTCTCTTTCCCAGTTAACAATTTGAAGAATCCAAGCCATCAAATGTGCATCATTGAGGCATAAAATTGGGTTGGAACAATAATTGCAGCTCTTTACCTTTGCTTACAAAATCCCTATCAAGGAAAAAGAATTTCTCTCTCTCTCTCTCTTTTTTTTTTATATGAGCAAGTATGATTTATTATGGACAAAGAGTAGAAAAATTTTACTAATATCCATAGATAAATTCCTTAAGTCATATGTGAAGAGGCAGTATTATTAAAAGTTTGCTTTATTTTTTCTGTTTAATTATGTACTATCTCCCAATTACAGTTAGATTTGTTTTATGCCTTCCAAACATTAGCACAGTTAGCATCACCTTATCAATAACCAAATAAATAATAAATCAAACTAGGTCCCAGTGCTTATGTCCACATCTAGATTGTTAGGGTGATGGAACTCTAATTTGTTTGCTTTAGCTTTTAATTCTTGGTTATATCTCCAAATACGAAAGATCTGAGAGGCTCCTGCTGCACTGACAAAGAAATTAACAGCAGGCTCCAGTTTTTTGGAATAATTACAAGTGAATATCTTGACCAAGTAAACCCTGTTGCCATCAAAACAGCCGGTTGAGCTGTGCTGAGTTTTTCTGCAGGTCTGGCCATGTCAGCCAATCCAGCACACACCAAGCCCCATTTCATAATTGGAGCCCAGAAAAACACTGTTCTGGGACCTGCTGGGTGGTTGTACAATGGCCTCAACTTCTTAGGCAGTAGGAGCTCCACTCTATTGAGGATCCGGTGGTAGGTGACCCTCAGGCCCCAGGTGCCGGCGGCTGACATTTCTGCCAAGTGACCATGGCAGCCGGGTTGGAGAGCGGCCCTGTGCTTGTCCCTGGCTGACAGTGAAGGACATCTCTTCGCCTTTCCCAGCCACAACATCTCACGTCCTCCTCTCCCCCAGGGTGCCCTTAAGAATTACTTCTTGCAGCCTGATCTTAGTTTCCTAAAGATGAGTGTAATAAAATGTATCTTCCTTTCCAAAGTTGTTTTTGGTGTTCAAGAGAAATCACACTTAGTTTTTTAGTGTGCTGTTTTATTAGTTGAAGAGTTCTTTTGGATAAAGTCATTAAGGTTTTGTCCAGTAACATAACTGAATGTTCAGATAGGATACATGGGATAGTAGAATGTTGGCTATGAGGACCAGGACTTCGTTTTCATCACTCAGTGTATCCCAAAGCCCTACAACAGAGCATTCAGTATTTGTTAATGAATTAATTAACATTTATTAATTAGAGTCATGTTTATGGCTTTGTCCACTAAAAGAAAAATGTTTAAGTAGAAATTTCATTAGTTCATTTTAACCACTCCTATCAGGAAAAATTTTTATAACTGAATTTCTATATATGTATATTGTATTTAAATTTATATTTCTGAGAAAGTTACAGGGCCTCCTTAAGCTAATTAATACCTAATTTTCTTTCAAAAAGGAACAACCCTCAGTGATTAATTTTTGCCGTGCCCTGTTGAAGAATATTAACCCACATTCAGGTGACTGTAGCTTGAGGGTTCCGAGACTGTCATCCTCAGTATAGCTATGTTAGCATCATCTGGGAAATTGTTTGAAATGCAAATTCTCGGTATCCACTCCAGACATACTGAATTAGAAACAGAGACTCTGAGGATGGGGTCCAGCAGTCTGTTTTAGTGAACTCCCTAGGTGATTGGGATGCTTGTTGAAGTCTGAGAACCATGGCCACAATTGCTAGCTACAGCATCCCTACGTTTTTTGAATGTTCTTTTAAATACCATGAGAGAGAACGACAGAACCCCCTTGAGGTGATAAAGCTGAGTTTTTCAAACTTACATGTTAAGAATCACTTGAGGTTTTTATTTTTTTTAATGAAAATTCCCATTAATTTTTTCTTCCAATTTTATTGATATAATTGACATACAGCACTGTGTAAGTTGTGTGTATATAGTTACTTTATTTTTTTATTAATATATAGTTGATTTACAATATTATTAATTTCAAGTGTACATTATTTTTATAGATTATACTCCATTTAAAGTTATTATAAAATATTGTCTATATGATCTGTGCTGTACAATATATCCTTGTAGCTTATTTATTTTATATATAGTAGTTTGCACCTTTATCTCATCTTACCCCTCCCCTACTGGTAACCACTAGTTCTCTATATCTTTGAGTCTTTTTCTGTTATGTGATATTCATTTGTTTGTTTTATTTTTTAGATTCCCAAAAAAGTGATAACATACAGTATTTGACTTATTTCACTAAGCATGATAGCCCCCAGGTCCATCCATGTTATTGCAAATGTCAACATTTCATTCTTTGTTACAGCTGAGTAGTATTCCATTTTATATACACACACCCACATCTTCTTTATCCATTCATCTGTTGTTGGCACTTAGGTTGCTTCCATATCTTGGCTCTTGTAAATAATGCTGCTATGAATATAGGGATGCATATATCTTTTCAAATGAATCTTCATTTTCTTAATATACATACTCAGGAGTGGAATTACTCATAGTTTTATTTTTAGGTTTTTGAGGAACCTCCATACTGTTTTCCATAATGGCTGCACCAATTTACATTCCCATCAACAGTGCATGCGGGTTCCCTTTTCTCCACATCCTTGCTAACACTTGTTTTCTTTTTGATAATAGCCATTCTAACAGGTCTGAAGTGATAGCTCATTGTGGTTTTGATTTGCATTTCTCTAGTGATTAGTGATGTTCAACATCTTTTCATGTGCCAGGTATTGGTTAAATACGCAAATTACCACGCCTCTTCCCTGAAAATTGTGATTCATTAAGTCTGGTTTAGGCCAAGGAATTTAACTTTTTCTTTTTACAAGTGTTCCAGATTATTCTTATCTTTAAGGAAGTATTGGAAACACCAAGAGAAGTTGCTTATTTCCAGCAAATTTTTTCCAAGTTGTGGGAATTGAAAATTTATGTGCTGCTTCTGGAGGAATGTAAGCACAGAGATCCCCATAGTCGTCTTTGTGAACTCTGCTGAGAGAAAAGCCAGGATGGATCTGTTTTTCTAGTAAATCATCCATATTGATGGCAATAGATAATCTCCATTCCTGATTGGTTATATCAATGTTTCTTGAGGCAAGACTAGACTTGTGTATTACAGTACTGAGGCCTCTTCAATCTTTTTTCTTTCTTATAGTCGTGATTTAAATACAGAAAATTTTATCTCCTTACTCCCATTTGGTCAGTATCCCAAGGTAAAACTCTATCCTCACTTCATCTCCTTATCTCCATGCCTAGACTCACCTAATTCATCATCATATTCACCTAATATCAGAGCTAAACTTCCAGTTGTGTTGATAATGGGGAAGAATAGCAGGTGAAATGTCCAGGAAAGTGCAAAGATGATGTGTGCCTAATATGACTCCATTGTAAGATGTGGAAAATTCATTTGGGTAGAGTGGGATCTCCTGTTATTGGGGGTTAGCTTATTGCAGTGTTATTTCAAGTGCTAGAACATTCTTTTGTTTTTCTATTCTTTTGGGTAGGAAAAATGAGAGGAAAACTATTTACTAAAACCAGGTCTCAAAAAATAGATTTGACACAGTGTATGCTTTTGTAATGATCAGAATCTCTACGTAGAATAGACTGCTTCTTTTAAAAGACTGATGTTATCATAAGCCTACAAACTTGGTTCTCAGGGAATAATAGCACATTGATTTTGTTTAAACAGATTATCTTTTGAACTATTACATAAGGGAGTCATTATACTCTTGGACTATGATGACTTTAGGTAATATTAAAATGAAAATACTGAGTTACAGTAATGTGATTCTCTTTTTGTTTGGGTTATGGATAAAAGCATCAACATTAATTCAGAATTTACTAAGTATTAAAAAATGTGCTAGATAAAAAGGCCTAGTCTTTTCCCTCAAGGAATTTGTAGTCTAGTAAAAGAATGACAGGTAGCTCCTCACGAGTGCCATAAAAAGGCCTAAATTAAGTTTTCTGAAAGTGCAGAAGAGGGAGAATCACGTCAATTTGAGAGGTGCAAGGAAGCTTTTATAAAAGTGCAGACACTCACAGAAGGGATAAGTCAAACTACCTTTGAAGAAATGGATCCCATTATGATACATTTAATGAAAATTTGTCTTGCTCCAACCACCTTGAGCATTCATGTTTTAGGTAGCAGTTACAAAGTTGAGAAAATACACATTGTTCTAAGAAAATAGAAGGTGTTTTCAAATGCAAAGGGAAAAAAATTATTGAGGTATAAGATGAATTAAGGTATCACTCATTTAGCCATAGTAGATACATGTTACATATTCTATTATAACTGTGAACTAGTTATGAGACAAAATATACTTATTTCTCTTAAACCTCTTAGAGTTTCAAGTCCTTGCTTAGAAGGTTTTATTCCTATATAACAACAGGTTTGGTTGGGTTTTGGGTTTGTTTGTTTGTTTGTTTTGTTTTTTTAGGAGGTAGGTAACTAGGTTGGTTTGTTTGTTTAAATAGAGGTACTGGGGATTGAACCCAGGACCTCACGCATGCTAAGCAGGCACTCTACCACTGAGCTATGCCCTCCCCTCATAACAGCAGTTTATATGAATTTGTTTAATTGATCTTTGATTCGTTGTTTTTGTTTCAGTCCTGATGCTGTCATGCTGTCCTTTGTTTTCACAGGACAACATTGTTTCCTTATATTTGGAAATTTCTCATCCTAGTTCAGGTGTCCTCAAAGAATAGGTTTGATGTATTCTGAAGTCCTGCCAGGTAGCGCTACTCTACAGCCGCTGCTGCTGCCAGCCCTTTCTCTCTAGTTGGCCTGGGCTTCCTAATGGAAAGGGAATTACATTCTTTAGCCTTCTTACTACCACTTCTTACCTACCCATCCAGGTAATTTCATTGTTAGAGAGAAATTTCTCATCTGTCTTGAGTTCTGTGTGCAGCCTCAAAATGTTCTCTTCTAGATACGGCCTCTCTGGCAGTGATGTCCTGGACAATGTAGCTTATGCTCGAGGGTTCAACACAGACCACCAGACCCAGCTCCTTTATCAAGCATCAGCCATGATGGTAGAGTCCAGGTATGTGGTCAATAGAAGATACTGAATATATTCCCAGAGCCTTTACCCTGAATCTTTGGGTTGTGACCAGTTTGATAGTAGCTTGAATTAGAAATGGGGAGATTAAAGTTTTAGTTCCTATTTTGACACTCTTGCTTTGTGGTTTAGGTCAAGTTACTGTTCAAATATGAAGCTGTAATCCACCTGAACTTGTTGGAGATTTTACTTTGCTATAGGGTAACTCAGAAATGGATGCTGTAAAAGTAAATAATATGTAACTATAAATACAAAATTTTAGGGTAGTGAGGGAGGTAGTAGAATCTGACATAGCCTAGAAACAGGCTTCAGAGAATCCATGTTCCCTGTAGGTATGCACTGCTAATTGTAGACAGTGCCACCGCCCTGTACAGAACAGACTATTCCGGTCGAGGTGAGCTTTCAGCCAGGCAAATGCACTTGGCCAGGTTTCTGCGGATGCTTCTGCGACTTGCTGATGAGGTAAGCTGTTGGGTAGGAACAGAAAATGCCTACTTTCAGGGGCCATGTGTTCTAGGAGACTTGCCCAGAGGCCAGGATACCAGGGTCTGGTATCATTAAGATATCAGTTAGATATAGAGAGACTTGAGTCATTCATTGCTTTGTGGGTGATAGGGGTGGCAGCAGTAAGGTTCTTGGAACGTATGACCACAAAAAATGACCTTTATCCTTTCCCTGTCAGTTTGGTGTAGCAGTGGTGATCACCAACCAGGTGGTAGCCCAGGTGGATGGAGCAGCCATGTTTGCTGCAGATCCTAAAAAACCTATTGGAGGAAATATCATTGCTCATGCCTCAACAACAAGGTAAAATGATGGGATAGATGGCTTTATCTTGGAATGTCATATTAACTGTGAAGTAGACATGAAGATAACATTTCCATTTAAACGCTGTAAAGGCTGCTGTTTTGTACTTAGATACAGGAGCCCTTGCTTAACTTAATTGTCATGCTCTGGTTAGAATAGGTGTTTGCTTTTAGTTCACGAAGGAAATAAAAGCCCTCAGATGTGGAAGAATGAATATGAAGAATTGATATGTCTCTCATTATTTAAAAAAAGTTGTTTCAGTATAAAAAGTCCACTGGAGGGTGAGCAAAACGGATTCCTCCAAATTGGAAGTGCCCTAAGGAATACAGAAAGATCCCCGAAGTCCTTCTAGGAAGTATATGTCTAAAAAATTTTGAGATGTACCATGAGTAGTCAAGAATAGAGTTTTTAAAGTGTAATAACTTTGGTGCTCGGTTTGTGTCTTTGCCTCAGACTGTACCTGAGAAAAGGAAGAGGGGAAACCAGAATTTGCAAAATCTACGACTCTCCCTGTCTTCCTGAAGCTGAAGCCATGTTTGCTATCAATGCAGATGGAGTGGGAGATGCCAAAGACTGAATCCTTGTTTTTTTTTTTCTCCTTTGATAAACCTTAAGTGCTTCAGCATAATGGAGAGGACTGCTCCCTGGGGTTCTTCACAGGCCTCTTCCTGTTGTGACTGCCAGGAAAAGGCTTCCAGGAAAACAGCTATTATATCGGCTTTTCTTATGGTGTAAACACGAGACAGGTCAGTAGTCACATGCTGATCCGAAATGTTTATTCCTTCTAGAGTGTATTAATCTCTATGTGAATTCTTTGGTTTGGGGTGTAGGTATAAAGTACCTTTGACATCATAATGCCTTGGGGTTGACTCAGAACTAACTGCTGTCTACTGGACAATCTTGTGTCTCCAAGAGAACTAAACCTGGGGAGACCTGACTTCTCTGAATACTGTTGAAAAAAATGCCTGAGTTAAGTGGCATAGGGAGTGGGTCTCCTCACAGGTTTCGTTTTCTCTGTCAGTAAAACTGTTCAATCTGAAGCAGGTTTTTAAGTTTGTGTGTTTCGATTATCTTAGATAAGAATTTGTTTTTAGATAAGGGGTACTGAGTAGTCTGCTGGGCCATGAGCCCTTCACCATCTACTCGGTTTTTTAATACTAAGAGCAATTCAAGATGGTTCTGGAATCTTAAACATTTCAGAAGCTCTTTAAGTAAGTAGGTTCAATGTGGGACTGCTAATCAAGTAGTTACTTGCAGTGAATGTACTGTTTATAGGAGTTATTCTGGTACAAGCTGAATATTTCAAGATACAGCCTTCATGATATTGTTTTGGCACTGGGTATGGGTGATCAGCTTCTATTGCTTTAAAACTGAAAATGTAAAAGGGAAATCCCACATTCAGATGATTCAGTTTATTCTCCTTCAACCTAATAGAGAAAGAATATCGCAAGATATTCTGGCTTTCTTGTTCCTGTGTTTTGATTCTGTAAGTTTTGTATTGTATAGGTCTGGTACTCGCCCAGATTATTCCACTGCAGGGGTTTGAGATACTCCTTCTCCTTCAAACTTCTACTCAGGGTAGGTTTTAACCAACTCTTCCAGTTTCAAACGCCCTCTCAGCTAGTACTGGGAGGAGAGGCAGTACAGATCTCTGTTGCCTGTGTTGACCCTACTATATATGTATGGAGGTAGGAAGACAATTTAATGTAGCTTTGTTTTAAAAACAGTTCTGTTCCTTGACTTTAAAGAACAGAGTACCTCCTAGGTATTCTTTCATTTTTACACCACAAAACAAACCTGGGATGACATAATAAAACCATAGTGACAGATTCTGGAACGGACTTGCTTCTTCTATAAAAGCATCTTAACCTTTCTTTCAGTCCTGCAGGGTATTTAATTGACTTTGACCTAGAAACATGTCTCAGTTTTTCTCATAGGTAGGATTTTCTTTTCAGGTGGGACTAGGCTTTGTGCCCTTGGCCCTGAGAAGGCTGGGAAACACCTGCTTAGTTGGAATAGACCTTGTTAAGCTAAAGATAAGCTCTCTACCTGTGTTTTAGATTTAACTAAAATTTTCTTTGGAAGTTGTATTAACCAAAACACTTACTCTAAACTATTTGGTACTGTTTTTCTATTTGTCTGCAATAGCCTCTATAGTAGGGAACAACTAGGGAAGTGTAGAGCAAGAATAAGAACTGATTACAAGTAAACATAGAAAGGGGAATACAATCATTTCTAGTTAATTTGGTTTATTTCAAGTTTGTACCAAAATATATTCCAGGCAGCTCCTCACATCACCATTTTCAGTCTCCTAAGTCTTATGCACTGCTGTTGTTCCAAAAAGCTGCCAGGACTCTGGAAGCCAAGTGGTCCAGCCCCTCGGCCCAGGAATACAGTTTGAATCCACATGATAGGTAAGAGACAAGACCCATGGACTGCCCTAAGCCTTCCTTTTACCCTAGTAGGTTAGGGTATGATCTTAGGACTACATACTTTGGTGCTGAGTATTAATCAGTGGAAAAGATTAGAGTACGAGTTCTGTGTGTTGTTCCTCTAGCTCCTGAAAGTCATCCACCTCACCAGCAGCTGGAAGCCAGCCTCAGTGCTCTACCCACACTCAGCCCTAGGAAGGTGGTGTTATACTAGTCTTGATTTTTCAAGAATTCGCTTTAGGGAGAGAACAGGAACCAGGCCTCACGTACTTCCCCAATTTCAGATTAGGTAAGGGATTAGAATAAATTAACCAGTGGACAATAGGAAGAAATTGGGAAATGGTAGCGGTCAGGCCCCTCCCTCAACCAGTCTTGCTCAGTTTCCTGATTTCTTTCACCCTCTCAAGTCATAAAGGCTATTGAAATGTGATTAGTCTCCTAAAATTACTTCCAGTTCTTCCAGGTCCTTCTGGAAAGCTGAATCCTAGGGAGACAAGAGAATAAGACTAGGCCTCAAACTCGTAAACCAACATTTCCCAAACCACTGGTACCCAGGAGTAGGCCCCTTGCTTCCTTTCTGAGCTGTTAGTCTTTCCCACTTCCCCAGGATAGCCTGGAGCGTATGAAATCTGTCTCCTCCCCTGATACAAAAGAGCCCACATGCAAAAGTGTAGACTTTTGGAGGAAAATAAGACCTCAGGGGAAGATATTCTTTCCTGAAAAGGTCACTTGATGACTCAATGAAAGAGCCCATTGTTAGAAAAGCTCTTAAAAGTATTACCTCTTTAGTGACATCTGGCAGCTCCAGGGCCAACTTCATCCACTGTTTAGCTTCAGGGTTTTCCCCTAGTTCTCTGTAGCACTGAGAAGAGACAACAATGAAAACCTGTGAGAAACACCACCAGGAGCTTAGGAGATGAGTATGTATGCTTTCAGCAGTTCCTGGAAGTATCATTAACGTATTTTCACCTATGCTGAAATAGGCAGGTGAATTTACCTTGGAAATATATACCCTTCCTGCTTTGGAAAATCCTGGCTGTAGTTCTTCCACCTGGAGAAGGGAGAAAGCATTTCAGTGAGGCGTTCCCAAAGTCCAAGTCAGGCTAAAGCTTATGAAACAGAGTTCCAGTCCCCAACCTGGAGATGAGATTCCTAGACTCATGAGTCACAGTTTTGTAAGTTCTTCAGGTGGTTCTGATTTTCCCATAGGACAGGCACACAAAACTGCCCTCTACCAGAAACCACCCCCCCCATAACATCCTCAGGGAAAACAAGGGCGCCCTGGCAGTTTCGGCTACTGCCCACCCCTTCCTTCCCTGATACCTTTAGGAAGCTCTGGAGGGCGTCCTGCACAGTGGCACAGAGAGGGCTTTCAGACAAGGCTGTAGCAGTTTTTTTTTCTAGCCAGCTCAGGTGAGAGACCTGCCACCAAAAGATCAAGGTGTGACTAAAAACTTAAGTATCTTTAGGAACACTGAATGTTCTGTACTTAAGTAAACAAGGCTAAATAGGGCCGGGTCCAGTCGCCACTAACATGACCGTTTAGGAAAAAATGGTACTTAAGCCAGACCAGGCTGAATACTCTGCTCCTCCTGGCAAGGTGGTCACTGTCTCAGGACACTTATGTCAAGCCCAGAAATTGAGTTTACCTGGTAGCACCACCTGCCAAGGAGAAAGTGAGCCATGGGGTTTTCCGGCTGGAGGGCAATGGCTTTGTCCACATGCTCCTAAGGGGGAAAATGTAAATATAAACTAACATCAGACACCACAGATTCTAAGGGGAGAGAGACAAGTCATAGAGGCTGTAGGAACACCCTTTGCAAGGAGCTAGGATGGAGCAGGGAATCTGGACTAGACCAGCACCAGAGAAGGAAAAGCCTTTCCTCACCTTGAAGCTAAAGCCATTCTGGATGCGTCTCTGGATGCCCTCATGCTCAGCCAGCTGGCCACAAAGCACTGCGTACCTAGGGGGAAGCAGCAGCAAGCTCAGGGACGAGGGCTGAGCACCGGCCCTGCCAGGAACGGGCTCCCCTCTCCGTGGTCTGACTGCACTGCCCCTGCACCTTCAGAGCTGAAAGCATCATTTCCATCTGTACAGAATTCTTTTCACAGCCTTCTGGTCCCAGTTCATATTCTTTAGCAAATACAGTGGTAAGCTCACAATTCTTCAAAGTATAACAGGTACAAAGAAGGTGGGTCCTCTCCAGTAAATATCTCTCTTGAAATTTGGACCGAGATCTTGCCTAAATATTTTCTCATAATCATAGCCGTAGCTGTCATAAAAACTTAAGCAGGTATCTAAAAATCAGCATCAAAGACCTGAGTACACTGCTTTTTGTCTCCTAAGCAGACCTTAAAAGGTCTCGTTAGCCTTGGAAGTGTTACCATTGGGAAGATGTTTTAGGATGGGATATTCTAGGAATCTCTAACGTTAGCAAATGAAGAAAAGGCCCCAATTTCAGCCCTCTCCTCCTCCCTCCCAGGGTAACAAAGCCAGCCAGCTTCCCTCCTTCTGCCTTTAAAAACAAAGGTCTTGAGGGGAGAGTACAGCTCAAGTGGTGAGCGCATGTTGAGCGTGCATGAGGTCCTGGGTTCAATCCCTAGTACCTCCTCCAAAATAAATAAAAAATAAAGCTAATCAATCACCCCCCTCACCAAAAAAGGGTCTTATTACCTGTCCCCCCAGCATTATTTCTAGAAGCATAGTTGATAAGTGTCCCAAGGCCCAAGTTGCTTTTTCATGTTATTTACTAAATATCTGGTGGTATTTCTATCAGATACTTCCAGAGGCTCATTTCCCTGTTTAGCCCAAACTAAATCTGTTCCCCAAGAATACCTAAGAGAGGATGAGGTCAGTTTCCATCCTTGGGAGCCCAGGAGCTCCAAGGGAGCAGCACCTGTCATGCCCAAGAAACAATGACCTGGCCTCTGAGAAGAACCATTGCAGAGACAGTTTCAGCAACAGTTAAGGAAACGCAGCCTCTCCCAGCTCACAATCTGAGGGCAGAGTCATGGAAAGCAAGTAGGGAAGTGGGAAAGGAACATTTTCACTAAAACTCTGGTGCTGGAACCAGGCCCCAGGACACAGGTTGACCCAGACCCATCCAAGTTGGCAGAACCTTGCCTCATGTGAGGCGACAAACAGGGCTGATGCGTTTGTAAGCTAATATACTGACTACCGAACTTCCTGGGGGTGAGCTCACATCTCCTTTTCCTCATGCAAGCCAAGCAAAGAAGCCAAAGTCCGCCACCAGCCAGGGATCACAGCTAGGGGAATGAAGAGCTTGTGTGGGAGAAGGGAACTGCACGTGTCCCAGCCTCCCTGAGGAGCCAAGAACCCACAAGTTTTGTAGCCAGAGGTGACTAACAAAGCTACTCATTTCTCCAAGCCTCCACAGAAAGCTCTACTCTTCCCCCTTGTCTCACCCAGAAGGCACTTCCCAAAGGAAACGCCCCCTGGGGCCCTCACTTGCGGGGAGGACGGCATAAAGAAATAAGCGCCAGAGCTCCCTCTCCTGGTCCCTCTGGCAAATGCCTTTTTGGCCAGGGCAGAGAAAAGAAAGGGCTCTCCTCCACCCATACCCACTCTGGCTCTCCCTGGGAGAGGGTGCCATTACCACTGGTGACATTCAGCATTCTCATCCCCCTTCTCCAGAGCGGCCTCTGCTGCTTCTTTTCCTGTAGGACAAAAGTGATTCAGGGTTGACAGGGGCTCCCATGCACCCTTCCACAGGAAAGGCTGTGGGAACAGTGACTGCTCTAAGCTCTCTGAACTTGTAAATAGTTGCGCACTTGAGCAGAAGGAAGAGCTGCAAATAGCTGCTCACCTTGCTCTCCCCTCTACTCACCTTGCTTTCCCTATCTCTGTCAGCTGCCCCAGGTACCTGATTTTTATAACACCTACCTGATGTGCTCAAAGCATTTCAAATGTAAAAGGACTCAAAAGCAATCAAACTGTCCCCAGTAGACCACTGCCCTGGAGGGCTTTTGACTTGGGGTCTGTAGCTAGGCTTCAGGTTGTCCATGAATCCCTCTGAAGTTGTATATAATTTTAGGTATATGTGCATTTTATTGAGAAGAAAGTCCACAGTTTTTATCAAATTCTCAAGAGGACCCATGATCTAGGAACATCAATCATGGCTCTAGGCCAGAACTCCTCACCAAAGCCAGATAGACTGAAGTATGACCAGAGGTGATTTTAATGTAGTCTTACCCAAGTTTCTAAGCACAGAACAGAAATCAAAGCCTAAATACATGCAAGCTCTTGACAAGGGTCCCCTAGAATGTCAAGGAGCTGGAACCCTCCCGCTGAGGACCCTATGCCTACACACTGGAGAAAAGAACACACTGCATAATGGGGCATCTGATTAAAATGGAGAGGGCCTGGAAGGGAACACGAAGATAATGGAACAAAAGTAATGTGTTGAGGTGGTAGGCTGGCTAATCTGAATGTTTCCTCATCCTTAAGTGATAGTAATCACAGTATAATGTTGTATATTCAACAAACACATGTAAAGACCGCAGATGAGAATCCTACATTCCCCTATCCGAGTGGAAGGACCGTACGCCCCACCGCTGAGGGACACTGTCTCACAGGGGACTCCTGTCTGCCCCCTTCAAAGCACTATCACACTAGGAAATTAACACTGAAGAATAAGGCAACCAGTTCCTGCCTCCTCCTGGTGGTCCTAACTTCTAGAGATAAGACAAAATGAAGTACTTTAGATCCAGTAAGGATGGTCCTAAAAAGCTAGAATCCCAGAGCAGAGCCTTCAAAGACGCTCCATAGTCACCTGACCTCCAGCAGGAACAGACCTGTCCAAGGCTGCTAAGCTCAGGAAGCCAGACCAGACCAGTGCTGGCTGTGGCTGCTCTAACCACTGCCCCGTCCCTCCACCTTCAGGGTTCCTGTTGGCTGTAATACTAAGAGATGATCCAAAGGGAAAGGAAAGGGTGTTGTTGATTACCAAGAGTCCAAAAATCAGCCCCAAGGGCTGATCAGAATCCTCACCTGAAATTTTAGAGGGGAAGCAGAAACTTTTAAAAAGGAAGAGGCAAACAGTAATTAAGCAAACAACTTTTGTTACAGCTTCTGGGGATTTTTCTGAAGATCTATAACATTCAGCTCAATTGGCCTGTTCTTTCTATACTGGCAGAATTCTACAACTGTCAAGAACAATGATCCTGAGGTACAGTCAGATTCTACATTATCAAAGATTCAGTGTTTGCAAGGCTGTACTTATAGAAGTGGGAAAGCAGACAGATCTACTTAGATAGTTAACTTTGAATAACTGAACCAGAAGATCTGGAAGTCCACTGATGGTGCCTGACTCAGGGTGTGTAGTTAGGCAGGATACATCATCTTCCCTATGAAACCAGCCTCTCTTTAAAGCCCCAGGGTTCTCAGTGACCTCGTGACAGAGGACGGGCCCTAAACATGGCACAAGTCATGTGTACCCTACATCCCCAGGTACACATTCTGACAACAGAGTTGCTAAGTAGACTCCAGGGACTTCTAAACCAGCAATATTCCACCAAACTGCTCCTTACAGACGCTCACCAAACATACGCCGCTCATTATATTCTTAAACACCTGCCCCCACAGGCTCCATAACTGAAACTAGACCTAAGCAGAAGCAGAAAACCTCAGATTAAGAAAGGTTTTGCCCTTTGTAGTTGAGGAATGAGAACAAAGAATTGTACTAATATGATACCACAGTTGACCCTTGAGCACCACGGGCATTAGGGGCACCAGCCCTCTGTGCAGCTAAAAATTCACAAATAACTTATAGTTGGCCCTCTTTGTCCTCGGTTCCAACCAACCGTGGGCTGTGCAGTGCTGTAGTATTTCCTATGGAAAAAAATCTGCATATAAGTGGACCCGTGCCACTCAAACCCGTTGTTCAAGGGTCAGCTGCTCTCCTGAAATCATGTACGCCTGTGTTACGCAAGCGCCGTGACATGCAGAGCAACAGAGACTGCTCTGTCTCCCGGAGGAAGCAGGGAGTCTCTGGGAGCCACTCTATCCCTGTGGTAGCTGAGCCACAGCTGCCCTGATCGCCTGTGTCTCGGTGGTTCCCCGGGCTTCAGGCTGATCACCGACTCCACCCTCGGCATCAGGCAGCCACCTTCCCACCAAGGACCTGTCAGCACTTACCACTTAGGGCATAGGACTTCTTTTCACTTGCCTCCTCAGCAAGCTCACACATGTCGCTGTAGGCCCGGGCCAGGCGCCAGAGAAAGTCTTGCCGGCTTCCATGCTGCAAACCAGACAGGGGTGAGCCCCTTTCTCTCAGCTGCAGAGAACTGGGGCTCTGGCCTTCTCCCCACACCCTACCGTTGAGTGTGTCATAAACACTGATATCAGGCCACCCGCACAGGACTTCTCACCTGCGGAGGCTGATGACATTATCTCTAGATGACAGATTGCACAATCCACAGACTGAGGGCACTCTGGCTTAATACCATGAGGAGGAAAGGTCAACTCCAACATGTGATGAGGCACAGCAAGAGGCAAATCTTGCTGACAATGAAAAAACTGAAAATGCCCAAAAAAGGGGAAAATTCTAAGTTTGGGGGCATTTATAGCTGAATGAGCATGAATTCTGGCAGTGAACCTGAGAAGAGAATTGTGGTAGTGACCTACACACCTGTCACTTGTGATGAAAACTTCACCTAGGGCAGACAGCTTTGGCTCTGCCTCAAGGGAAACAAAAGAGAAAACCCTTCCAGTTCTTTCCACACTTCTCCCTGGTGAGAGAGGCTCTTCTGCAGTAGCTCTACAGGTGGCAGCCAGCTGCCCTGACGGTGGCGGGGAAGGCAGCGCTCGGCCTCCTTGGAATGGGATGTACAACCCTGGGGGGTAGGTGCAGAACTCACCGTCTCACCCTCATTTCCCTTCCCATGGCACTTCACAGGGTCGGGGACACAGTGGCCTGCCACCAGGGGTTAGCAAGGGGAGGGCGGGACAGAGGGGTGGAGGAAGGGCAGCCAGGCAGCTGGAGCCTCACCGCTAGCTTGTTGTTGAGCAGCAGCTGGAAGCCCTCCTGCTTGTCCTGCTCGCTGCCTCGGTGCATCTCGTCTGCCTGCTGCAGGAGGGGCAGCACATCTTCTGGGCCAGGGGAGCCTCCGGCCTCCAGGGCTGCGGACACCAGGCCCGAAGCCACCTCCACCACCAGGTCCAGAGAATCTTTTCTCCCCATCTTCACAGTCTCACAGCTCACTTCATCTTCTCCGTCATCATCACTCTCTCTTTCAGAGTCCCGCTCATAGTCAGACTCAGCATTGGCTGTTGTGTAACTGTGGCAGAGAAACGAAAGTGACAGGGTCAAGGGAAGGAATTACTTAGCCTCAGAGCCTCTAGGGTCTAGCATCCACCCACAAGAGGCACTCTCCACGGCACTGTTGTCCAAAGCCCCAAATAAGAACCATTCCCCTCAATTAGGGGTAGGAATTAGCCTTGAGAAAGCTTCCAATGGGAACTATGGGCTGGGAAAATAATCCAGAAGGGTAAGAGTGACCGACTGGGGCCCTGTGACAGTCAGAGGCCAATATGAGAATCCCCTGCTCAGCTACCACCAAGTCTGCCAGAAAATAAAGAAAAAGAGAAAGCTTAGAAAGGTATGAACCAAAATGTCAGTAGATCTCTCAGGGTAGAAGAAGTAACTTCCCCCCTATATTTTAGTATTATATATGATTGCTATAGTGAGCAAATATTCTTCTTATAAAGAAAGAAATGCTTAAGATAAAAACCTTAAGATGTAGGTGGAGCTGATATCCTGAGCTAGATAGCTCCCCAGGCTGAGGGTTTGTCAATCATTTTTGCTTTATCAGCCAAATGCACTGTCAGAACCAACGTGGGTGGATGCCAGCCTCTGCGGCCATAAGGCCGCATTTTCTTTCTCAATTGAACGTATACCTCTGTCCCAAGTCAGCAGCCAAACTTAAACCACAGCAGGAGCAGCCCTTGGGAACTTGCCAAGGGTAGGGAGGGGCCACTTTACAGCTGGAAGCAGGAAAGGAGGAAGATGTGGACAGAAGCCCTCGGGAAGGTATCTGTGGGGCCTCTGTAAGCCTGGTGTCTCCCAGGGACCCCAACCCTGATGTACCCACTGAAGAGAAAGCCAAGTTTCCCTTTGATCTTGGCCTCCACCAGCAGCTAATTACGGTGTTTTTCCTAATTGCCAGCTGAACCAGAGCAGGGAAGGTAAGGCTTCCAGAGGTCACAACCAGACACCAAAGAGCCCTCCACACAAAGAGGGAAAGCAGTTTCCGTCAGAGCCAGGAAGTTCCAAAGCACGGAAGATCTTCAGGTCATTTAGGGATAAGCCTTCCTCTGTCCTGGAATAAGGAAGTAGGATCCCTATGGCTGGAACAAATAAGACCTGAAGGAGAGATGAGGGAGATGCGTACAAATAGTCACTACAGCCTAAAGTCAGGGGCTGAAGTGCTGTCCTCACCCAGACAGCCAGAGATGCCAGACGGGCGGGTTCCAGGAGGCGGCAAGTGAGCAACCAGACCCGATGCCCATTCCATCCATGCTGCTGCTTTATAAAGGAGCTTTCAGACTCATCTAACAAAGGGGCTCCAAGAACATCTATTACAGGAACTTACAAGGTATTTAAAACCTTCCTAACCTTGCTTTTTAAAGAGGTTATGCAAGTATCTCCTCTCTAGCAATTTGCAATAAAAGCCTCAGAAACTAAAGGGACAAGGAAAAGTGATTATCAGGTTTCACAACCAACCTGGGTGGTGATGCGCAAGACCACACAGGGCAGCCCAGAGAAACTCCCTACCAGTTCCTAGGCTTGGACAATAACTTGCCCCAAATGACAAAGTTGACAAATCAGTCTATGAGGGCAGGTAGCGCTGTGCTCAGTGGTAAAGCATGAGGTCCTGGGTTCAATCCTTGGTCCTTCCATTAAAAAAAATTTTTTTTTTTAAAAATCAGAGTCTACCACTGCCTCCACTCAGCCCAGCCAGGCCCAAAAGCAAAATGGATTATTTGGGGTGTGAGCTTGGGTCTTATCACCTCCCCTTGCAAAGAGAAGGGGCGACCCTATTGCCTGCTCAGCTGAAGGCTGCCTCGGCCAATCAGGAATCTCCCGGGGAGGGACCCCTGCTCGTACTCCTGCTAGAGCACAGGCATCAGCAGTCTCTCCAGGGAGCTGGGCCAGGAGGAAGGTCCTGTAATGCTGTGAACCCTCCGGGTCCTAAAGGCCAGGGAGCTGACGTGGACAAGGAAAAGGAGAGATCAGGAGGGACCTCACTGCCACCCAGAGTGAGAGCTGGTAAAGCCCTGAGGCAGAGAGGCTTTAGTGAGGCTAGTCTGGTGGGGAGGCCTTTTATTACATCTCAGCCCCTCTTCAAGGAGCCCTGCCTCACATCTGCAACCCTGCTGCCCGATATGCGGTAGGCAGGCAAACTCTTGTTGAGTGAGTACTGACTTCCAGGGCTAGAGAAGAGATTTATCATGTGCCAAGAGCTACAAGGGCTGCTATCTTGATATTCACCCATTCTCTCACATTTCTGGGGCCACCAACCCAGCCTCTGGAGAAACCCACCAGAGAAAAACGGACAGCTCTTTTATTTAACATGCCCAGCAGCATTTGAGATGAGTCAGGGTCTGGCAGGGACCTTTGAAAAGGCCCTTTCGACCTGTGCACTCAGGCAGGACACACTGTTCCCACAGTGCGTTGAGGACCCAAGGCTCCCTCAAAGCAAGGAGCCCAGAGCTGCCCAACCCTATTCCTTGAGGAGACCCCACAAGGCAGCAGTCAAGGACCCAGTTACACACACATCCCTTCCTGGCAATTAAGTTTCTTTCTTTTAATCTTAAGCCCCATTAGAGGTGCTGTGCTGAGGCATTCAAAGACAACCAGGCATGGGCCCTAAGCCCGAAAGGCTGTCAGTGGTGGGAAGACTAACCGGAGTGAGGTGATAAATGCCCAAGAAGGAGTGGTGGTGAGGCTGCAGGCAGTCCCTTTTGGCTGGGAAGCCTGGGAAGGCTTGCTGGAGAAGCTGGTGCTTTAGGGCAAGTTGGGTTTTGACAGGGAGGGAACTAAAGTTGTGTTTGGTACAATGCTCAGGGGAAAAGCTCACGGACCTACACACTGATTCTGACTGCTGCGTTCAGTCGATCCCCTGGGAGCTCAAAGTTGTTATTTTATTTGGAAGAAAGAGGGAACACAGCTTTCAGTGGAGTAGAGTAGCCCATCACATCTTGTGTTTTCATCCCTCATAGAAGCGTTCCTTCCCAGGGGCCCATATGTTCAAAGTCATTCCAGAGTTTGTGGCCCCTTCCCAGAATTCTCCCTCGACCGTGACCATGGCAAAATGAATGATTCACTGTGGCCACTGCTCCAGATAGCAGCCAGCTAAACCAGAGTCTGGAACCATGAAGCACCGATGGCTTCCACGTGCCACAGGACTGGTCATGGGGCTGAGCCTGCTGGAGCTGTAATTTAGAAAGCCTTCCTCCCTCTCATGCCATTACAACTGGCTGGCAGCCCTGTCCTGCTGTTCATGGCCTTGGGAGCCCCACTGAGCATCCCAAGCAGTAAAGCACCCACAAGCTTCCCTGGTTAATCACTCTGGCTCTCAGTGCCCCCAGAAGCTTGTACAATTTCTTAAAATCATCACAAAGAGCTTTGAGTTCTACATCCGGGTTTGGGCAGAGCTGTGAACTCTCTCTCTGTTCTACACTCTCACAAGGCTCAACTGTCAATTCTCCACCCAAGTGACTTCCTTCCTTGGGTTGTATAGAGATGCTCCTTACATCTGAGGGCCTACTATCAACTATTTCATCCATTCTTTCAATCCAGATGTGTCAAATATTAATTTCATTTTTGCTCCCTTTATCACAGTCCTCTGGAAGCATGTCTCAGCCCAGAGGTATTGGATAAATTAAACAGAAAAGGTCCCTTAAGAATACAGACCATGGGGATCAGACAACCAGGCAACAGTAGCCGTGAATGGAGGACTAAAGGTCTTTACCAAGACTTCACTTGTTTCAAGAAGCACCTGATCAGTTATCAAGTTCAGCACAGATGCCCAATGGCAGTGACGTGGAACAAGAGTACTACTACTACAAATTTTCTCTGAAAAGTAAATGAGGAGAGGCAGGAGACTATAATGACTCAAACAAGAAAACAAGGCTGCGGTTTCTGAGGAATATGTCCGGAACAGAGCACGCTGCCTGGGGCTGTGAGCTGCGGCGGCTCTCAGTCAGGGGGAAGAACTGCTCAGGGCTGCCGGCGGCCTGTCCTCCTGCGCCGACGGCCAAGCCGTGCCGCAGACCGCAGGTGAGCGTGGCTGAGCCTGCACTCAGGAGCTGTCCACCCCTAGGCAGCAGGCGGCAGACCCCGCTAAGCCTCAAGGCTCTGTCTGAGAAACAGGACAGCACCTATGTTACAGGGCCCTTGTGAGGATTAAGTGAGGAAATACCTCTGAAGTGCTCTGCAGTGTCTGTCCCAGAAGAATAAACAGTAGTTAACATGGTGTTTCAGCTCAAGAGGGACAACGCTGCGAAAATCATTCTAAATGGCTGGTTTAACTTCTAGTTTCCACGTGCATACAGGTAAACTAGTCACTCTGACCTGACAGAAGGCTTGACTGTTTACTCGGCCAGTCTGTTCCTTGAGGAGGAAGAAAGGTCAGCAGAGGCCATCAAGGAGAGAGCCGCTTCTAGACCACAGGCAGGCCACCTGGACCTCGCAGTGGACAAGGGCAGATGCTGCCAATGACAGCATCGGGCACCAACACAAAGATATTCATTCAGACTCCATCCTTGGGAACAAGGTTTCAAAATGGCACTAGTGGTTTAAAATCAAAAAGCCTTTAGCCTGATCAAGTTTGGAGGCTGTCCCCCAGACTCCTGCCTGCTGCCCTGTCTCACAGTAAGGCCTATGGTCAGACCTGCCGGGCCACCAGTTACTCAGGTCTGTCACCACCCACCCACGTGCAAAGATGGCGAGGCTCCCCTGCGGGAAGAGAACTTCCCGAGGGAGGGAGCACGCTGAATGCTTAGAGAGTTCTGTAGACCTGGCTCAGCCACTCAGTGAAGGAAAACGCCCAACCAATGTTACAGAAAACAAACATAAAAGACATAATAACTACATAAAACACAGACCTACTCAGAGGGAAACAACACATGCCAGCAATAACCACTGTCAGCACTGCCGTTTGTCTGGATGACTCAGGTGGATGGTTTTTCTTATTCCAACTGTTTTGTATTTCATTTATTTATACCCTTACCTTGTTCCAAAAATTACTTACAGCAGCTTGATGTGAATTTTCCATTATAACCATTGCTTTTACAAAATATAACCTGGCTGAAGCCACAAGTGTCTCCAGGAGAGACGACTCACCCGCCTTCGCTCTCAGCATCTGTGAACGTGGCTCCCGAGGTGGCCGTGAAGTAGACAGAGCTGGAGCCGGTGGAGTCGCTCCTCTCCCGGGCAAACAGGAATCTTCGCCGCCGAGCCACTTTTTGGCTCTCTTCTATGTGGGATCTGAAAAGCAGGCCCCTTGCTAGAAGGTGCCATTAGGCCCCAACCAGCCTGCCTTTCCCCTTACCAGGAGGGAAGCTCTCATCACTGCTGTTCACTGCAGGGCCAAGAGCAGAGAAAATCCTGGGTCTCTACCCTCAGGAGAGCAAGAAGTGCAGCTCCCTGGACCCAGCCTGCACGGCAGACCATGTCAGTCAAAACAAAGCGTTTCAGCTGCTATAACAGACCCTAGGGACCTAAAAGCCTCAAGGAACACGTGCAAGGCAAGGACTCAAGCATGCGGCCTCCCTGCCAATTAGGTGAGAAGCTATAAAACTGGTTTCATCCTTAGACACACACAGCAAAGGCTGAAAAAGCTGAAGGGGTGGGGAAAAGCTGGGGTGTGGGGGACAAGGCAGCAGAGGAGGCTGCATTACTCACCGGACCTCCCCTACGATCTGCCCAGCAAGTCCCTGCAGGCTGCTCCTCAGCTCCTCCACCTCCCGCCGCAGCGCCACCAGACTGCTCAGCACAGACTCCAGGCGGTCCAGCACCTCCTCCTGCCCTTCTCGCGGAAGGCCATGCAGCACCGCAGCATCGCCAGCCTCACCTGGGACTGCCCGCAACGGCCTCACTGAAGGCAGGAGGAGAGGAGACAGTGATGCCCATGGGATAGAGGGAGGAAAAGAACTTGCACCCAGAATTCAAGAACACTTTCTTCTCATTGGAGTTCAATTTACAAAAACTTTGAGGCTTTGTTCAACATAAGTTCAAGTCCCAGGTAATGATACATAAAAATTAAAAGAAAAATCAAGGTTCCAATCTCTAAACAAGGGCCATCTCTTCCAAAAACCTTACACACCACAGCTCTTCTGCAGTACTGCGCGCCACAGCAGATAGTGTAAAATGTTAGCAAGGGTGCAGTACCCAGAACACAGGACAGCTGCCCTGCTAGAGTAAAAGAAAACCCTTTACCTGACTATTTATCATTCCCAAATCCCAGGAAGTCAGTACTAACCACACAGGGAAACTAATATTGAGCTCACTCAAATTCTGATTTTTAACTTCACAAAGAATAGCAAAGAAAACTCAGTTCCTCTCAAGAACTTCATTTAGTATCATCTGAGAGAGGCAAGGAGAAAAGGGGCAGTTACTGAGAGAAGAGGTACACTGGAAAAAGCCCACTCCAACGCCACTTGAAAAACACCATTGCCAAGCCCTGAATTGAGCTCTTGGTAAATTCTAAGAGTAAATGCTAGAAAACTGATAGCTACCTAATGCAAGTGGACTGGAAAAATGTAAAAACAGGAAAGAAGCCAGGAAGGCAGGATCCACAGTCCAAGCAAGCATAAAGCTGTTAAAGGAAATCTACTAACAGTCGTAGATTACAATACACATCCAACAATGTTCCAGTTTGTAAAGCAAGAAAGATCCCTGGGAATGTGGCCATTTTCTTCCAGCCTCAGTAGAAGAAAGACTACTGCTAAGAAATTACAAACGAAATACAAGGAAAAGAAAGACAAGCACACCTGCAATACTTGGTTACCACCAGGTTATAAAATGCTGAGAAACAATTGCAGTCTAAGGTGATAACTCTGAAGACTCTTCAAAAACTAACTTTTCCAAACCATCTGGCACTTGGTAATCAGAGAAAACACCTGTTCCCAATTAACATGGGGCAAGATAATCTGAATGCTCCTTTATCACACAAACGAGAGGGGCGTGGTCTGAACCAGCCCTAGATGCTTCAGTCCAATGAGTTAACACGAAAAGTTTTGCAAAGCTGAAAGCACTACCCATTTCAGCTGTGGCTGGCTCCCAGCCATATTCAGCTTCAATTGCAGTAAGTGCACTCCTAGGCCAATGCTGTGGGAAGTCAACAGGCCAGGTGACCAGGCCCGATCCAGCCACTTACTTGCTCTGTAACCACCTGGGGAAAGTTACGCAATCTTTTTCAATCTCGACTTCCTCTTAAGAAGGATTTTAAAAACCTGGACTAGACAAGTCTCCAAGGCGCCTTCAATTTTTAAAACCTAATTTACTACATAAAGCTCATAAATTTTAATTCCTACAGGATTAGTTTTTCCTTTTGCCTTCTTTTGGAATCTTCCTCTACTTATTAAAACACCTCACCCACACTAAGCAAGTGCCTTTAATACATACATAGCACTCCCATGGCCAGAACTAAAAGTGAAAGCTAAGCCTTTTTACAATATACTTTCCTGGGATTACAGGGGAGAATACAGAAGAGAAAGGCTGCTTTTCCTTTTCAATAAGCTTTCCCCAAACGTGAAACTCTCAAGCATCACACCCACTCCCACCCTCCTACTCTTTCCCCCTTCCCACAGGTTCTGCTAAAGGCAGCCCTGATCCCAGGCCCAAGGTCAGCAGTCACTGCGGCCTCGGGGAACGGGCTCCTACCCTGGTGTCCGGGCTCTGAAGTCTGCGTATAGTCCAGGGAGTTGGGCTGGTTTTGGTTCTGGCTCTGGGCATGGTGCCGGGTCCGTTTCCACCGCTGGCTGTACAGGGCACACAGGAATCCAAGGCCCGCGGCGGTGCCCAGCAACAATCCCAGCCCGGCGCGGGCGCCACCCAAGGCCCCCAGGCCAGACATGCTGCACCTGCAGCCCGCGCGAGCCACCGGAGCAAGCGCGTGAGAGTGAGGAAGAGAGATTCGTGAGTTAGGGTCCACGCATACCCAAGGCCAAACCCCTGGAAATAACCCCCTTGCCCAGACTCTGAGCTCCTACCACCCTCACCCCAGTCAGGACCCTAAGGTTTCTGCGAGCCCCCTGGGCCTGACTACTGCGCCTCGGACCCCGCCTGGGCGCAGCCTCCCCGCCAACACGCCCCCTAACCTTGATTCCGGAGACAGGCTCCTGGGCCTCCAAACTCCTCCCCCAGCCTCACGACGCTGCAAACTCCTGGACTCCCCGCCGCGCCCTGTGAAGGGACCCTGGCCAGTCGGGAGCTCAACTCAGACTCAGCCCGCGGCTCACCACTGAGGCAGCACCACCGCCTCGTGCTGTCAATGATAGTGACGTCATCAAACGGCGCCAAACCATCAACCCCCGCTCGCCTACAGGAAAGTGTGGTAAGATGACCACCGAGGCTCCGCCTCCGGCCCAGCGCTTTTCCCAGGGGGCGGGGATACGGGCAATGTCGGAGGGGCGGAGCCAGCAGAGAGCGGGAAAGGGAAACCGGGAATGGGGTACAAGCGGGGAAAAGGGGAAAAGCTGGGAGACTTCTTGGGCCGGATGCTCTACAGTAACCCACATAGCCTGGCCAGCTGAGGTTCCATTTTCCTCCAGTCACACCAGATTACCTAGTGTTCCCGGGATGTGTTGTCTACTTTTGCGCGTCTACTGCTCCTTCTGCCTAGAATGCCCCTTTCTCTACCTGGAAAACGCCACATCTCCCACCTTTCCTTAACACTCGGTCATACTTCAGACTTTGTTTTCAGCTTAATTTATTTATGCATTTTTACTCAAACTATTGACTAAGCACTAGACAATAGCGCCTCTGCAGTTCAAACTAGAACAAATAAATTTTGGCTATCCACAAGAAGTCCCTCAGTTCCCAGGACCAGCTTTTGCCAGTTGACACTTAAAAACCTATTTTATAGATGCACAAAAAAATCTTAAACCTTACACTGTCGTTATTACATTAATCAGAGACAGGGTTATAACCTTTTCCATTTCCAGAATGTAAATTAAATTCATTCCTCTAACGATAACACATTTTAACATTTGGGTGAGGCTGAAACTTGGGTTGATCTCTGATTGCTTAAATTGACTCAGATACTATTTTTTAACCTGTGTTAATAATTTTTTCCAGCCCATCCGTGGCCCATAGTTTCTTTTATAATTCTATTTACTCCTATGATTTTATGCAACTTCTCATAATATTTTTAAAGGAAATCACTTTTTAAACATTTTAAAAATTTATTTATTATTGTATTATTTAATTATTTTTATTTTGGCAGAGGGGAGGTAGTTAGGTTTATTTTGGGGGGAGGTACTGGGGATTGAACACAGGACCTCCTGCATGCTAAGCATGTACTCCACACTTGAGCTATGCCCTCCCCCAACTTGTAATTTTAGAAACTAAAAATAAATGTTTTTATAGACTATGGTTCCAATTTTATTGTCAGCATTTCGTAAGAGTTAAATTTTAGTTTAATGGGAGCCAAAATATCTAGACCAGTCCTCCTCAAATCCTTCACTACATATTATATTTACTTACTTTTTAAATTGTGGAATATTTTACATGTATTTTACACATGTAAGAGTAGACTTGATGTATAGGTACATTGTAAAGAATCATTTAAAATCTTAAGGTACCCATCCCACAGCCTAAGGAACAGAACTTCACCAATACCTCCTACTCATTTTTAAGGATTCGGTTTGACTAATACCTTGAGATACACTAAGGAATTAACTATATTGTCTTGGTGAGGAGAAAAGAGTGTTTTTAATATATTTTCTGTATTTTTCCTCATTTTTCTGAAATAAACATAATTTCTTTTGTAGTAAGAAAATATGTTGTCTTTACTTTGGAGAGAATAAAAACTCACTTCCTCTGGGAAACCTTTCCAGACCTCTACCTTAATGGAATTGTTTTGTCTTTCCTAGTTCTTGAGGCTTGGTTCTCTCTACTCTGTTATACTCGATTCCATGATTATTTGCTTTCTAGTCTATCTACCCACTGGACTGCTCACTTTTCCAGGATGAGGTTCATGCCTAGCACAGTTCTAATGCAAAAGCCATCCATAAAAGCTGAATGGAGGAAGGAAGGAAATAAGGAACGACCAATATCCAGCCCCTGCCACTTTGACGATGCTTTTGTTACGAAACCAGATATATTTGCCCCACTCACAGCAAGCCAAACGCTGAGATGCTGACGTTTGCAGCAGACAAGGAGGCTATTCATAAGGCAGTCTAGCCAAGAGATAGGAGAACAAATCTCAGATCCTCTTTCCTGAAGGCAGTGGCCTTGAGATACTTGTAGGTAACGAAACGGCGGTCTTAGGCGTGGGGAAAGGTGATTGGAGGTAGAGAAAATGTGAGGTAAATGGTGTTCTCCATAGGCATATCTAGATTACGTGCTTCTTCAGAGGAGGTAGTTACATGATCTGAGGGTGGAGTTTTTGGCCCTCTTATGTCAAAAAGTTGCTCACTGTAAGGCGAGAGGATATAACTCAGTGGTTATATCACGAGTTCAATCCCCAGTACCTCCACTGAAAATAGAAAAAAACCTAACTGCTTCCTCCCTCCACCAAAAAAACTTGTTCATTGGACACCTGTGCACACCCCATTTTACGGTTCGTGGTCCCAACCAGCTCAAACTGAACAAGAGCTGACTCTAAGTTCCTAAAAAATAACTTAAGCCCCTGTTACTATAGCAATCCATACTACAGAGGAATCTATAGGAGTGGTTAAGGAGTCTTGTGATATATTACCTAGGCTATGTGATACTTGGAGGGTATGCAATTAAAGCTAGCTTAATCAGTGAAGGCAGTTTACAAGCAGAGGGGTTTTAACAAGCTGTTCCCTTATCTGTCATTCTGTAAAAGGTTCAAGAATTTCTGCTAGTCACCAGCCTCTGTTAACACTGTGGGCACAGTTTCACTTTCATAATGAAAAACTGAGTTGTAGAGCAATTTCTCCTCTTTTTATAGGGGAGGAAGATCTGCCAGATCAACTAACTGATTGTGACAAGAGGCGGGCCCAGATAGGAAGACCAAGTAAGGGAATTCATTTCCCCTGGATATTAAAGATGTTATCTCGCAGGCATGTCTGCCAGGACAATCAGCAGTGAAGGTTGTGATTCTCCATGGAGCTCTATATCTTATGACTTATCTGCAGACCAGTTTTGCAAACGTAATAAATCCCTGGCCCTGTGAGATAGGCACTGCCCTCCTGTCTCCTCCCCAACCCTCCACAGCCCAGCCTGAGAGAAGAGAACAGAGCAGACTCCAAACCCCTGTCCTGCTCTCTGCCCAGAATATGAGAGCCTCAGGTACCCGGCTCTTGCGAGAGGCGATATATGCCTTGGGATGGTGACCTTATTAACCTCTTGTGCCTAAACTCTAAGGCATTTGACACTTTAAAAAGCTGTTTTTATAAAATATTTAATGGCTACAAAATATTTATCATACATGTATAAAAACTGAATAAAGATTGTCTCCATCCCATTCTTTTCCTTCTTTCAGACATAAACACTACCCTGAATATTACATTTATTATTTCCTTTTCTTTATAATTTGACCACAGATGTTTTTAGTTCCAAACCATATATTTTTAATTTTGCATGTTTGCAGACCTTTAGGTAAATAGAATTATTCTGTATTTTTCCAAGATTTGCTTTTTCATTAATCATTTTCTGTTGCTGTAGTTTCCATTGTATGAATCAATCCAAAACTTCTTCACTTCTGATGGCCATAAAGACTGTTTCCAGTTTCTTGCTAATTACACACAGTGCTGTTATGAATATTCTCGTATGTGTATCCTGATGCAGTGAGTTTTCCTAAGTTTATCTAGGAGAGGTTTGGTGGGTAACAGTTATGTGTCTTAAGCTTTACTAGATAACTAAATTTTTCCCAAGGTGACTGTATCAACCATAACAATTTGCAACCCCAACAGTAATGTTTCATTTGTTAGATATTTTCATCAATAAGTGATGCTTATAAATTTTTATTTTATTTTTTGCAAATCTGTAAAGCAGTATCTCATTGTGGTTTAATTTGCATTTCTGGGATTTCTAATGATATTGAACATCATGTTTTATGTTTCTTGGCCATTTCCAATCTCTTTTGAAAAGTGCCTGTTCGAATCATTTGCCCATGTTTCTTCTATTGATTTATCTTTTTCTCGCTAATTTGTAGGGAGAAATGTCCTGGGCATTAATTGTTTTGTCAGTTTAACATATCCTTTGTTAAACAGGAGTATGTCTTATATCTCCAGCTTAAACTATTGTCGGTCCTGGAGGTAGAAAATACAGGAGTATAGAGTACAGCATAATAAATTAGACCAGTAAGGATCCTTTGGGATCACAACTTCCTGATTCCCTTACACCTCTCTCCACAAAATACTGGAGTCACAGAGTGTGCCCCGTAAGTGCCCTTCAGTGAAGTGAAGATTTTTCAAGGACCAGGGAAGGAAGGTTACAGGCTGTCTTTGCTTTGCTTTGTTTTTTAGAGAACCAATCATAACAAGGCAGATATAGAATGTTGAGTTGTCAGATTTTGGTATATCCAGATGAGAGCGTGGATGCGTGGTGGTGAACTCGCTGCTCTCTCTTTGGTAGCTAGTGCGGGGAAGTTTCTTTTGCCCCAGGTGTTGCCCCGTCATCTCCTGCACGTGCACCGCGGCTCTTCAGCTTCGCGGGCAGCTCTCTGAAGTGACTGCCAGATTCCGTTGGTTTAAGTCTCTCCAGGCTGGCACTCAGCCAGACAAGCGCTCGGTTCCTTTACAGATTTACCTACAAAGCCGCAGAAACGAAAGGTTCCGCCGCTGTACTAGGAATTACAGTCGGTGAGGCAGGATTGTGCAGCGCACCCGAGGCGTCTCCTGTCCCTGTCTCCTGCGCAGTGAAGGAATCTCTGGAGTCTGTGTTTTAGAGCCGGGAAGTGGGGATCTGCTAAACATTTTGGAGGCGTCCCTGGGTAGGGTGGGCAGGAGCTTGGGGGTCCTCAGCGGGGTCGCTGCTTGCTCCCTGCTCTGCTCTTCAAGGAACTGGGGCGGGGACCAGCAGGACTTTGGAACCAGTTACTGGGGGTGCTGCATTAACAGGGCGCAAAATCAATACGCGCGCTGGGCGTCACAGCCCGCCACAGCCAGCCAAGCTCGGCCCGCCACCCCCGCCTCCACTACGCGAATGCGGGAGCGGCCCCCCTCAACACAAGACTCCCTCCTCCTCGCGGGACAACGTGCAGAAACCGCGCGTGGCACCACGGGCCCTAGTGCACCGCCCGAGGGCAGGGGGCGGGTCCTGAATTGCCGAGCGCCAGGGCGCGTCACGGACGCCTGCTCCTGATTGGTCGGCAGCGGCTGTTACGGGCCTGGCGCTCCGGGATTGGTGCAGCCAGAGGCCAGAAACGGAGTAACTGGACTCCAGACGGCGGGTCGCAGTCCCCAAGCCCGAGGGGCTGGCGTCAGCGCTGGGCACAAAGTCCAAGGGGGAAGCTTGGCGGAGACGCGTACACCATGCCCTACCTGCTCATCAGCACCCAGATCCGCATGGTGAGTAACCGCCCCCGGTCCCTGGGAGTTGGCGCTGGGGTCAGGCCGGGGGGCGCTGCCGATCGCACCTTGGCGCCTCCCTCCCGGGCGAGGCCCGCGGGTGGCTGGACCCGGAAGTCGCCCGGGACACGCCCCCGCCCGGGTTGCAGGGAGGGAGGCTGGGGCTCGGATTCAGTCCAGATCCGAGACTCTGCGAGCTCCACCTACCCGGCGCCTCCAGGGCCGTGAAGGGGCCCAGGTGCGTGCGTCCCCGCCACCTAGCGAGCTCCAGACGCCTGCGGCTCCTGTTCTATCTGCCCGTGGGAAGTCTGAGCCTCCGGGAGGGACCCAGGAAGTGCTGGTCTCACTCGTGCAGCACCCAATGCGCTACACTAAGCCGCTCCGCCGGGGGTTGGGGTGGAGGGAAGGAGCGGACTAACCTGAGGGGAAGGAGTGTGGAAAAGAAAAGGACGCGCTAAGACGCTAAAACACCTGTGCCACGTGGTCCACTCAGTCACTAGCTGCACCCTTAGGCACTTACAAAGAGCTACCCCTGAGGCCTTAGGAAAGGAAGAGAAGAAAGAACCCACGGGAGACAGCCCGTGGGTCTAGAGGGGGTGGAGCATCACTCACCAGTTAGAAGCCACATCCTTTTCCCTGGGCGCAGTTTCCTCTAAAAAGAAGGTGCTGGCTGCTCCAGGAGTCCTCTTTTAGCTTCAGAATAATATGACTGGGTCCCCTACCAGGGCAGCAGGATGCTCCTCTGCCCCTTCCCACTTCCCAGTGCTTAGGTAATCCATCAGTAGGTACACAGCCTCGCTGGGTTGCAGGAAATAGCGGGTGTGCTCACGGTAGGACAGGAGAGATCTTGGCAGTGATTTAAGAACCAGTCAGCTGTGCAGTTGTTAAAATGTGAACTCCTGGTCCACTTCCCAGACCTCTAGAAGCACTCTCTAAGCCTGGGGCTTGGGAATTCAGTGCTCATCAGGCAATTAAAAATAAAAACTAGCTTTATTTATATATAATAAATAAAACCACAGAATCCACCAATGTAAAGTGTACAATTCAGTGGTGGCGCTTCTCTCTCTCTTTTTTTAAGCATAGTCAGAGTTGTGCAGCCATCACCGCAGGCAATTTTAGAACATTTCCATCACCTTAAAAAGAAACCCTGTACCATACTCTGTATCCTAGCAGTCACTCATTTCTCCTCAGCCCTAGGTAACCACTAATCTACTTCCCACTGTACCTGGTGTGGTCTTTGGCTTCTTTCACATACATGATGTTTTCAAGGTTCAGCCATATTATAGCAACTATTGGTACTCATTCTTCTTTATTGCCAAATAAAATTCCATGGCTATACCATTTTATTTATCCACCCATCAGTTGACAGACATTTAGGTTGTTTCCATTTTTTGGTTATTATGAATAATGCTACTGTGAACCTTTGTGTGGGCATATATTCTCCATGTGAGTCTGATACACACAGATATGGGTGGGGATGCCTTGCACGGAGGTGCTAGTTGTTGGGCATTGCCCAGCCAGCCCAGTGGGGCCAAGGAGGCCCTACGTTGTTCAGCCTGATCACTGATGGACTCCACCCCTTCCCAGCTTGTGTTTAGCCCCTAAGATTCCTTCCCTTTCCTTCCAGCCTTTAACTGAAATGGGCTCAGAGCCAGCAGGCAGGGCAGGAAGGAGAGGTGAGCCCACTCACCTCTACCTGGCAGCCAGCCAAGCATCTGCGGCTTACCTTGCAGGAGGTGGGCCCCACCATGGTGGGCGATGAGCACTCAGATCCAGAACTGATGCAGCATCTGGGGGCCTCAAAAAGAAACGTCCTGGGAAACAACTTGTAAGTAGTAGCATTCCTAAGGATCTTCTCCCCGCCAGTCCCTAGACCTGTCCCTGTTCCCTTTACACAACCAAGCCCAGAACAGTGGCACTGCCCAGCCTCAGGGACCCTCTGCCTGCATCCTGGGGCTCTGTCCTCTGTAGGGTGAGTCCCCTCTGCAGCCTCACCACAGACCCTCAGGCTTGCTCTGAGGGCTTTCCCACTGGGAGCTCCAGGACGGAGTCCAGTTCCCTGCATATAGGACTCCACAACTGGACTGCTCCTTACCCTGCCCCCTCATCTCTAAGCTGGACCCCATCGAGGTGAAGACAGGCACAGAGAGAAAGTTCTTTGTCTTGTAGAGCCAGCTGAGTAACAAAGCTAAGCCCTAGAAACAGGGAGCAGGGAGCCTGAGTCCTGCTTCCAGTTCTGCTGCTGCCTGGGGACTTGGCCACTTCCCTTGGAATCCTTCACACCAGCCCAGCCTGGGACTTGAGCCCTTTATCCACCTGATGGCCCTTCAGAATCAATTAACCCTGAAAGAAGAGAAATCAAGCATTCTCCATGCTAGGGAGCAGCACCCAGAGCCAGGAGCTCTTGAGGACCAACCTTATTGCTCCATGACTGCAGGACACTCAGGGAGCAAGAGGGCAGAGGCCAGAGGAGGACCCCCAGGAGAGCAGGCCACTCCCGCTGAACAGGCAGTGGCCCAGGGCACATGGGGCTGTTGGCAGACTAACACGGATTCCACTATCTGGATGACATCGGGAAAGCTGCTTTGCCCCTCTCAATTTTCTCACTTATAAAATGGGAACAGTAACGGTACCTTCCTTAGGTTGTTGGGAGGAATAAACAAGATAATGCACTCAAAGTGCTTAGCAGGCGAGGGGCCAGGAATGTGGACCCAGCCTGGCACCCCGAAGGGACCCAGCAAATGTCAATCCTTGGTAGGAGTATTCCCGACCAGGCCTGTTCTGTGGCAGATACTAGCTTTGTAAGTGGGGCTGCACTGTGTTCCCCCTCATGCCGCCCCCTTTCTCTTCACAGTTCTGAGTACTACGTCAATGACCCTCCTCGAATAGTTCTGGACAAGCTGGAACGCAGGGGCTTCCGTGTGCTGAGCATGACAGGGGTGGGCCAGACACTGGTGTGGTGCCTGCACAAGGAGTGACCCTACCACACTGAGGAGCGGCGGGCACCCCTTCTTTGGAGTGGTTGCTATGGGCCCTGACCCCAAGCCCCTGCCTTACTCACTGTGCTGTCCCTTCTTCCCAAGTCGTCTCTTTCCTCGGCCCAGCACCACTGGGCAGTGAATGGCCTTCTTGAAACCTTCGTCATTCAGTGGAGGGCAGGGTCCATGGCCCTGGTGCTTCTACCTGCTCCTCCAGCTTCAGGCCTAGCACAGCCCCAGAGGAGGCCATGTTCCTGAGGGGCAGGCTGAGGGGCTGGCAAGAGCCAGGCTGCCCCTGGGTGGGAGCTGGGTGTCCCCACGAGCATGGCTCCAGGACAAGGTGGGTGGGTCCTTCGTAGCTAGTCCAAGCCAATAAAGGGCTGTGATGAGTGGTTACTCCTCTGCTCTGCTGGCCACTGACTCTCACTGTGTGGTGCAGCTCCCTGGGGGTCTCCCTCCTCCCGGGGAGGGCCAGGCCTGGGTAGAGCCCTCTGGGACAGAACCCTGAAGTCAGCCACCCTTGGGCAGGCCAGCACCCTACACCTACGTATGCCATAGAGGTAGACTCTTAAAAAAGTTTATTTGATGTTTAAGAAAAGGGCTGTAGGGTGGGAAGGCTGGATAGAGGAGGCTACGTGGGCTGCCCGGCCTGCTCCTCCTGCTGCATCCGGCTGATCAGCTGTTGCCGCTCAGCTGCCTGGCGCATGCGCATCATGACGAGGCTCTCGTAGTCCCTCTCGGACAGCACCGAGCCCTGGGGGACAGCAGGGACAGGGAAGGGTCAGGACAGCAGGGCACAGCCCCGCAGACTACAGACTCGAAGGACAGGTCCTAGGCAGAGCTGCCGCCAAGAGTCAAGGAGGGAGAATGCCCACAAAGGGAAGGAGCGTCCAGCAATCCCAGCTCACCCATGTTCCTTCAGAGCAAGCTGGCCTTCGGCCCCCAGGCTGGCCTTCTCAGCTGGCCCCTGCTCCAGCCCATCTGAAGCAGCTATCACCTCCATCCCGCCTCCCCTGTCCCGGGCCCTTCCCATCTACAGACAGCTGCCGTTCATCTTTTCTGGGTGAATCACTTCCTCCTGCTCTAGCCAGGCCCTGGTCTCCCTTCATTTCCTCCTCTCCATGGCTTCTGCTTCTCACAGATTTCCCATGAAGGGGAGTTGTCAGAGGTGCAGAAGTACACTCCTTCCAGGCCAAGGCAGGAGCACTGCCCGCTCTCAGCTGCTCCTCCTCCCTGTGGTCTGGCTCCTGCTGAGGATGTGGAGGGAGCCCTACCCTAGACACAGCCTCACTCAGCCCCACCCTAGAAGGAGAGAGAAACAATCATTGAGGCCCGCCTGCCTCCTAAAAATACATACCAGGGCTCCTAGAGGGCAGGGCTCAAGGCTTTTTCTTTTATGATATTGCCAGCACAGCGCAGGGGATTGAGGCGTGCATTTTAATAACCAAAAGAATAATAAACAACCACCTCTGTGGGCAAAGGCTGTGGGTGGAGAGGCAGCTCTACAGGGGAACCCTGAGCCACCAACCCTACACCCTGATAAGGTCCGTAGTGGGAATTAAATCACTTCCTCCCTTGGTGCAGCTGAAGCTGTGTGAAGTGTGATGCCCACCAGAGTTGGCACAGAAGTGAGCCAGGCCAGGGGGCTGCACAGCAGATAGCTGTTGGGCCCTGTTCTGTGGTACCCCGAGCTGGTACACCCTCATGGAATAAGCCAGGAAAAGTCTGGTGGTCAGTGACCCAGGGAATAAGAAGGGAGTGGCTGGGGTTAAGATGCCAGGCCCTGGCCAACTGGTTTGAAGTCAGGGGTGTACAGAACCAGGAAGTGTTACTCAGTCCAGATCCCCCTGCTCCACCTGACAGCCCCACCCCTCGTACTCTCTCCGGGGCAGCAGTGGGCTGCAGCAGCTCTGAGGAAAGCTGCCCTCCCAGCCAGGCCTGCCTCCTAGGCTTGGCCCAGACCCCTCCCCAGAGGAGGGGCCCCAAATGAAGCCCAGGAAGCCGGATGGGAAGAACTGGAGGTAGCAAGGCCCTGGCCTTCAACTGACCTCTTCTGCCCTGAGGCCATCTGGGTAAATCAAGGAAGGATGAGGAAATGGAGCAGCCAGCCTTGGTGTCAGGCTAAGGGGAAAGCAGTTCTCCCCTCCCCAAGGTAAGGCTGCTCGGCTGAGAAAACTTGAAGCCACCCTTGGCATGCCCTGAGCCCAGCCCTGGGAGGAGCCAGCCCTTTATAGGAACGGGGCTGCTCCTCGTTAACATCCCCCCTGCCTCCTTCCCCCATCCTTGCAGGCTCTGCTAATGAGGGCCTGTCACTGGGCGCAGGGCTGAGTCACCCACACCAGTGACAGGTCTCCCTTCCTTTCCAACAATCCACAAGCCTGCCTTTCAATTAACTCCCACCTCCCTTAGCTCCTCCCTCTAGACACATGGGGGGCTGGGGAGCCGCGCCTCCCTGCCAGGGCCTGGGGCAGTGAGGCTGCAGGAGAAGAGGCGGCAGCATAGTAACCCACAAAGCAGGGCTTCCCCCAGACGAGTCCCCAGAGGAATCTTAAGCTCCCCAGTGCCCCTGGGGTGTTGGCTATACTGCCCCAATCCCTGCCTGCGGATGCTGCAATTACCTCAGAGCGTGAAACCTGGCTTCCCACCTGACTGAGTCAGCGAAGACAACAACACAGCTCCACCACCACCACACACTGGCACAAACAGCAAGCCACTAATCAGAGTCCAAGACCAACCGGCAGAGAGGCCCGGCCCCACGCTGCCCTGGAGACCAGGGAGAAGGTGAGCTCGGGCCCAGGAGGAGCCCGGCGCTGGGGAAGAAGATCCACCTCTGACTGTGCCACAGCTGCCCTCACTCCAGCTCCGTAAGTGCTGTTTCTTCCTCCTGGGGTTTTTCCACTGCCCTATCAAGTAACCAGGCCACTCCTGTCCCTCTGGGAAACTCCGGTCGCCAGGAACTCCCATCTCTCAGCTCTCCTGGACAGGAGTGCCCACATCCCGGGACCTCGGTTCACCATTCATGATGCTGGCTTGAAGGTCTGTGCTGAGCAGAAACCTGGAGGCCCCCGCTTCTGCCCACAAGGGCTGCCTCCCTGATTCTTGCCCATCACTGCTCCAGTAGGACCAGATGGTCCCTAGCTGCCCTTGATCCAAGCTTCTGAGATACCAGACTTGTCTGCTGGCTCCCTGGGGCCCAATGGAAACCTGGCGGAAAGGCTCCTTCCGCAATGCCTCCTTCTTTAAGAGGCTGAGCCTGGGGCGGCCACGGCGACTCCGGCGACAGGGCAGCGTGCTCAGCCAGGCCAGCACGGCTGGCGGGGACCATGAGGAGTACAGTAACCGAGAGGTCATCCGGGAGCTGCGGGGGAGGCCAGACGGCCGGCGCCTGCCACTGTGGGGGGATGAGCAGCCCCGGGCTACCCTGCTGGCCCCACCCAAGCCCCCGCGCCTCTACCGAGAAAGTTCTAGCTGCCCCAACATCCTGGAGCCCTCGTCTTCCTACACCGCTGCCTACTCAGCGGCCCTGCCCTCGGCACTCTCCCTGGCGGACACCCTCCACCAGTACTCTGAGGAGGGCCTTTTGGACACACCTCCCTTCCAGAGGACACCTGCTCCGGACCTCAGTGATCCCTTCTTCTCCTTCAAAGTGGACCTGGGGATTTCACTTCTTGAGGAAGTTCTACAGATACTGAGGGAGCAGTTTCCCAGTGAGCTCAGCTTCTGAATGGGGAGAGGGTGGGCAGAGGTGGGGAGACTGGAAGAGCCACAAACCTGGGGACCCATAGGAGGGGCAGTCATGGTTTAAGAAAAAGGCAGAGAAGGAATCCAGGGCCCTACCTGCCCTCTGGGTCCTGAACAGTCCTCTGAGTCATCCCAGACTGGAGGGACAGAGGTACAGAGGCAAGCTGCAAATGTGCAGGGGCACCTGCTAGCAGGAGCCCTGAGGGCAGCTAGCTCAGTGGGGAAATGGAGGCCATGCCTGCAACCACCAGGAGCAGGTGAAGGCCAGCAGAGGGGGCGGGTGGCATAAGGGGAGAGTCTGGGAGTGGACGACACACAGACTGGGCACAACAAATAGATGCCCTGTGCCAGCTCCCTGTTAAGCCACTGTCAACAGAGAGCGGCTACAGGACAGGTCTGGGCAAAAGTGGTCTAATCCAGGCTGAAGAGGAACGTGGGAGACCCAAGGGGAGAGGGATGAGACAGGTGTGACCTTGTCTAATATGACAGCTATTTAAATTTAAACTAATTTAAATTAAATAGGATTACAAATTCAGCCCTCAGTCACACCAGCCACATTTCAAATGCTCAGTAGCCACATATGACTAACGGCTGCCACACTGGAATGCGCAGAATGACCATGAACATCATTAGAGAAAGTTCTGTTGGGCAGCACTGGCCTTGACCATGGCTTGGGAAGGGGGAAGCATATGGGGCCTGCAAAAGAAGGGAGGGGCTGTCAGAGTAGTTAGAGTGAGGCAGGCAGAGTCACAGAGTATAACTCAGGAAAAAGGCCAAACAAATCATTAGCAGAAAAGGAGGCACATGAGACTCAAAGTGCCAGCACAGCTGCCTGGGCACTCCCTGGTGCCGAAGGAAGGTGGCTCTAGGGAATGCCAGGCACAGGCACAGACACAGCTTGCGAAGCGGTGCTCTGGGGAATTTCCAGAATTATTAGTGATGTGGGCCCTTGGGAAATGCAGCAAAAACAGTGGCAGATTTCCCTCATTCCCTCACCCATGAGAATACGGGAGGACTGGATCAGGGGACAGACATGAAATCGTGGCTGTTACGGTGAAGAGGCACAGCTGGTCTCCAGAATCCTCGCTAGGACTGAGGAGCTCTGCCTTGCTCAAAATCTCTGATGACGGGGACTATGGCCCCATCCTGCAGTCTGGTCAGAAGACTTGGAGACAGAGCCAAGTTGGCCATGTGGTTCTGATGCCCCAGGCCTTTCCAGGTGTGGGAGAGGGAGAGACGGAAGCCTGGACACATACTGCTTCTACAGCCCAAACTTTGTGGCCTCCCCCTGCCCTCCTAATGTGTGGATGTTCCAAGCTGAAAACTCCCCTGTGGGTGCAGATGATGAATAAAGTTCTTTACAACACAGCCTGTGGAGTGTCATCTAGGGCTTAACAGGGGGGAAACAGTCTCTGAAAAAGGATCCTGAGTTGAGCTCTGACCTGTTCCTTTTTCTCCTCTGTCCAGGGTCTGGGACACACTCCCAGTGAGGGGGTGGCGGCAGCATGACTGAAGCAGTGGGAGCAGAGCCCTTGCTGACCCACCCAGGGCCATTCTTCCCCACGGAGGGGCTGGAACACATCAGCCTGACGCTCCCACGCAGACCCCCAGGTGCTTCAGAGAAGGGAGAGAGAGCTCTTGTCCCACCAAAGTAGGGGCAAGTGTGACTGGGGCCGTGTGTGTATATGTGTGTCAGTGGCTGAACAAAAGCCTTTGTGGAGCTTCAAGGACTAAGGGCAGCCATTGGGCAGTGTCAGCTCAAGTCCTGGCTTCACCATGAGTCGGGCACCAGGCAGTGCCTCAGTGCTGGCAGGGCAGCCAGTGTTATCTCTAAAGAGGGGCTATTGCCTCTTGACAGTAGGTCCCCATCTGGGGCAACCACAGACACACCTGGAAGGAAGTTGGAGAAGGAAGTGGCTGCACTTGTCATGGCCCCATCCCGGGTCATCTAAGCCCATACTGTAACCAAGTGGCCAGCAGGCCAGGATGACAGCTTTGGGTGATGATGCAAGCCCCAAAAGGAGACCAAGATGTGAAAAGTAAGGTCTAAGAATTCTGTGAAAAGTGAGGCCCCCTGGCACTCAGAGAGGAAAGGGGGTCAGCAATGAATCACAGTCCTGCTTGGGTTGGAGTATCTCACCATATCCCCGATGACCTGGCTTTGTGAGGAGAGAGCCCTGAGAAGAGCCCAAACAGGAAGAGGTGCCCCAAAGCCTGAGTAGGCCCAGTTGGGTGAGGCTCTTACCTGGGACAGTCCAGGGTGGCTGGGGCCCCCCACGCTCTGGGGCCGTCCTTCCAACCAGGAAATCTTCAGAGGGTTATTGACCAGGCCCACTTCATTCTGGACAGCCAGCTCCTGTCAAACGCAGCATTCAGTCTTGGTCCTGTTATTTCAGTCAGCTACAAAAGTACTTCTCTCTACCCCGACAGAAAGATCCAGAACCAGCACTCTTGTCCTCCAAGCAAAGCCGAGCAGCCTTTGTAAGAGGGTGTGCTGAAGCTTTGACTCTCCTGATGGGCCATATGAGCCCTCTGACTGGGGACTGAGGGAAGGGGGATGGTGGGAAGGCAGCTCAGGGGCCCCAGCTTGGAGGCATGCAGACTTCTGCAGGAAGGTAGAGGGTGGGGAACCAGGTAGCAGGAAATGAACCGGCTGTGCTTTCCTCCATCCCTGGAGTGTCCTGTCCATCCCTGCACTCACTGTGCCTCTACTCCCAGGAGTCAGGGGCCTCTGGGGAACCTTGGCTCTGAGGTGGCCCAGAGACCCTCTGGGAGTTTAACAGAGGGCCCACAGAATTGGGTTTCTCCCCAGGAGCGGCAGGACTGCGAATGGCCCCCAAAGCCCCACGCAGCACTCACCGCTGCCTTGATGGTCGCAAACTCCACCACGGCAGTGCCTGCCTTCTTACTGGAAAGTACCAGGTTGAGCACTTCTCCATACTGTGAGGACAAGGGGGTCTGGATAAGCCTTCAGGATGGCCCAGCTTAAGCCAGAGGCAAGCCTGGGCCACCCTCAGGCTGCTGGGCCATTCTGAGCCAGTGAATAGCCTCATGTTGCTAGGTTCCCAGAGAGGGGAGATCAGAGATGGGAAAGAAAGGGTTTGTTTCCCCAGGAATGTAGAGGACAGCAAAGGAGAGTTGGGCAGAGGTGGGGATTTAGACCTGCAGAGATGCGCACCTGCCTTGGTGACTGAAGGAGGTGAAACGGATGGGGCTTTGGTGCCAGATGCCCACCTTCTCTCTCCCTACACACCTGGCCAAGCCCTTTGCTTCTAAGGATGGCAAGTGTTAGCGCTGGCTGGAGGGGGCACATGGCAACACAAGTGGCTATAAGGTCATGGCCTGGGGAGAAGTTTCTAGGCTGTCCTATGGTCTATGACACAGGGGGAAAATCCAGGTGGAGATGTGAAGGAAGGTTAGGCCTGGAGATCTTTGGGTTTGGGCTGAGGTTGGGATGAAGATGATAGGTAAGAGGGAAGTCAGTAGGGGAAACCTTTTGAAAAAGCTGCAGGAGGACATCTCTGGAATAGCCGCCTTGTGACTCGGCCTCCTTCTTGCTCTTCCATTTGAGCTGAAAAGACAGCAGTGGGTGTTGCCATTAAACATTGACCTCCTCAACAGTACCAGACCCCTCCCTTGAGCTTTCCAGTCTGAGCAGACACCCCACTAGTCTTCAAGGCAAGGGTAATCTAGGGAGCACCCCCCAAAGATGCATTCCCCTTAAAAACGGACAGGCAGGCTTCCAGCCCTAAAGATGCTCTCCTTTGAGGGCTTCTGGGAGTGCTGCCCTGCAGCCTTCAGGCTAAGGGCAGCCTGTCGTGGGCAGCTCTGAGAGGCCATCCTGACGCCCAGGCAGCAGGAAGTTGGAAGGATGTGGGTAGTGGTGTGGCTCCCAGAAACCCAGTGTCCCTGCCAGAAGCCCTTGTGCCCCAGAAGCGTCTGCTCTTGCTGAGGATGTAGTGTGAGGTGGCCTGTGGATCCTGAAGGGCTCACCTTTAGCTTTGGGGTTCTTTTGCTTTCAGGATTTTCTGCCATTCCTAGAAAATTTAGCAAAATTAGCAAGGTAGAATATGAGGGAGCTGGAGATTCTCCCAAAGGAGACACAGCCTAGGGCCAGAATGACCTAGAAAAGATCCTTCCTAACCAAGGGCAGTCTTTGCCCTGCCCTGCTGTGGAGCCTGGTTCGGGGAGTAGAGGCAATTCCACCCAACCTTGAGGAGCTGCCACTTCGGGGCAGCTGCCTGGCTGTCCTATGAAGGCCATGGTCAGCATTTTTCCAACAAAGGGCCATAAACACCTTCCAGGGGCAAGAGGTGGAGGTACAGACCACACAGTTCTACTGAACCAAAGTATCCTAGAGCCTTCCCAACAGTGATCTGCTCCAAAACAGCCAGCTCTGCTTGGAACTATGACAGGCGGGGATCTCAGGAGATCTCAGGCAGAGTAAAAAGCCAACAGGCCCCAGAGAACTGGTAGGAAGAAATGACAGGTGGCGTGTGTCCAAATGAGATGCCCTGGGGGTTCCAGCAGGTGAAAGTTTCCACAGTAACTCCACTGAGCAGCCAGTGTGGCCACTCTGGACATCGGGAGCTCGCTCAGAGGGGGAGGCAGGTTGGGGGACAGACTTTCACCTCTCAACCTCTGTTCTCGTTCCTGGCGTATCTGCTCCTGGACCAGCCTCTGCTGTTCCTCCAGCTGCCGGGAGCCCTCTTCTCGCAGGCGTTCGATCTACAGAGCGGGGGTTGGAGTGGATGACAATTCTGTGCAGATCCAGTTCCAGGTTGGCTTACCTTGTAAAGGTCCCTGGGATGTTCCACCTGCAAACTAGGCTCAGCAACCTGTGGGTGGGACAGATTACCCAGATCCCACAAAAGAAGGTGGAGAGGGCATGTCCTCCCCCAACCACAACAACCCCCAGGTCCACCTGCCTCCTCCTCCTGCTCACCTCTTGCTCTAGTGTCCTGGTGCTCCGGCTCTCCTCCTCCTCCTCACTGCCCTGGGCCTGGGCCTGCCGCTCCCGGGTCTCCAGGTCTAGGCACAAAGTTTGAATGACCCAATGTCTGGTCTAAGTGGTTTCTACATGGCCCTGGACCACCTGGTTCTGGCTGCCTCCCCAAAATCTCACACAGGATGAACCCATACAGTAACTCTGCCCTGTCCCTCCATACCCCGAATTGATTTCCATTGAGAAAAGTCATAGCAAGGAAGTATAGGCTCCAGCTGAGTGTCCGGGGTCTAGAAGAGTTAAATCAGCTTATGATGACCAAGCTGGTTCTCCGATCAGTGAACAAGGTGTAGGTGGGTGCTTATGTCAGCAGCCCAGGGCCACGGGTCAGGGGTGCGAGTGGGTGGAGCTGCGGGCTTCTGTTCCTGTGGTTTGGCACCGCAGCCAGACCTGTGACCTTGCCTCAGCTTCGATGCTCTTCCCACCACTGAGCTCGAGTTCCCACTGTCTCCCCTACCCCGCCTCAATTCACAACTGCCAAGCCTCACTGTTGGCCTGGCTGCAGTGGCTCCTACAGGGACGGCAGCCTTCATGGAAGGACATCACCCCAGGTCCCAGAGCCATTCCCACCTTCCAAGAGAAACCTGCTTGTGGCCCTGTGCCAGGCCAGCTGCTGCAACAAATGCTTCTCTCAAGTCTGGGACTCGCTGCTTTCTTTTCTGTTCACTTTACTTACCTAGACTTTCCAGGTTTGTTTGTTTTTGATGGATGTACTGGGGTGGTATATGTACATATTAAATATATGGATATCAAATAGGCAAGAAGAAGCGGAGAAAAATCGAGTAAAGAATGTCTGGACCAATCTTATGAGGGTGATGAAAATGTTCTAAAACTGATTTATAGTCATAGTTGTACCATATGGTAAATTTACTAAAAATCACTGAATTGTACACTTGAAGTAAGCAGACAATATGATATACAAAACATATGTCAAGAAAGTGTTTTTTAAGACAAAAGCCTGACCCTCTCTGGATCCTTCTGAGGGGACTTCTCAGAGTGAAAGCTCTATGCAGAAATGAGGCTGAGATGAATGAAAAAGATCCAAGACGGCATGGCCAGCAAGGACACTGACTGTACTCGTGCTGTGTGGGTTCAAATTCCAGCTCCAGCAAGTTCTTATCCTCTTAGTGCCTTAGCTTCTTTTGTCTTTAAAAAAATGGGTTTCATAACACCCAGTTCCTTGGATAGCTGTGATAATTAAAGGAGACAGTAAAACATCTGTCACAATGCCTAGCTAATAGCACAGCTAGTCATTGTTATTCTTAAGAGTGGCCTTTAGGAGCCACTCCTGAGAACAGGGTTCTGCCCAGAGCCGGGGCCACAAAGCTTTGAGTTGCTGGAACTAATGCTGCAGGAGGAAAGGTGGAGGAGCTGCATGAAAACAGCCCAGGGAAACCACAGGCCACCAGCACGATGATGTCACCTACCAAGCTTCACTTTCTTCCTTCTCTCATCAAGTTTCTGTGTCCTTTCTGCTGCCTGCTTCTTGGCTTTCCTGACCTTGTCATAAGCAGCCTGCAGGAGAAAGGAACAGAGCAGTCAGCCAGAGAACATGCACAGAGCCCAGCCATCTCCCTGGCCGCACCGCTAGCCCCAGAGCCGTTGGTGGGGCAGCCTGGTGACCTGGTCTCCAGGCTGGGACAGCAAGGACCGTGCCACATGGCCACGTATAGAGGATGAAGCACACAGTGGTCTCTACGTGTGGGGGATAATTCAGACAGAGGAAGATGTGCTTACCCTGGCGGCAGCATCAGTCAGTACCTCCAAGGCCTGGGAAAGCTGGTGGAAAAGTTCAGCTAAATGTGAGGATCAAAAAAGAGAGAAGAGAAAAACTGAGACTTGGTGATTGTGTGCTCCCTCAAAAAAGCACCTCAAAAAAGCGACAGGCTGCTGGAAAAGCAGACGTCAGCAGATGATGGGCCAGCAAGGAAGGGTGAGCACATCAGCAACTGACCAGACGCCCCAACAAGCAAAGTGCAGCCTTGGGGCCCAGGGCCCAAAGCCAGAATGTGTGCCTCCAAGGGCACTCATGCCATGCCCAGTGAGCCAGTCTCTTTCTCCCCGTGCCTAGGAGAGTCTCACCTGCTCGGGGATTATCCGGATTTTTGTCTGGGTGGCAGGAGAGGGCCTTTTGCCTATATGCCTTCTTCACCTGGAAGAGTCAATATTTGGTTATTCATTCTCTCACCCCAGGATGGACAGGGAAACATTGCTAAAGTGATAAGGGAAATCCCGGGAGAGCTCTCCATTACTAAAAGAAAGGCTCCCACACTGAAACAGTCACCTCACAAGCACAGAGATTTGCAGTAGAGGCAAAGGCCATGGAGCAGAGGGGCTGGGCCTATTTCCTGCTGAGCACCCAATCACCGTGGATGCTGAAAGGCTCCTGGCAGGGGCAGGTTTCCCTACAGCCACCTGGAAACAGGCACTCACACACTCTTGATGGGCATGTACACTAGGCAACCTTTCTGGAGGAAAATTTAGCCATCAAATTTAAAATGTACTTTCCCTTTGACTCACTTCTAGTAATGTGGACCTGTAGATGCATACCAAAACAAATATACAAGGATGGTCACTACAGCATTGTTTATGCCAGCCCCTAAGTGGAACCAACCAACATCTCCATCACTGGGGAGACCCATGAAAACAATTACCATAGGTAGAAGTCTACATGTGCTGACTAGAGAGATCAAGTCTGCATCACCAGAAAAAAAAAAAAACTATAACTATGTGAGGTGATGGATGTTAACTAGACTTATTGTGGTGATCATTTTGCAATATATACAAATATCCAATCATTACATTGTACACCTGAAACTAATACAATGTTATATGTCAATTATACCTCAATTCAAAAGAAATAAAGATCCTCAAGGTACAGTATATGAAAAAACAAATCTTAGAACAGTATATATAATATGATCACTTTGGGGTTGAAAATAAATAAAAGAAATGTAAAAAGAGATACTCGGGCATGTGCATAGCTTTTTTTTTCTTCTTTTTTGTCAAAGCAAACATAAGAAACTTAACAGTAGTTTCCTTTGGAGAGAAGCTGAAGGTGGAGGGAAGGAAACCTTTACTTCTCATTTTATACTTTTCTGTAGTTCAAATTTTCAAACCTTAAACAAGTCTTACTTTATTATCATCTTTTACTGATAACAGGGGTTATCCTGGTGGGGAGGTTATGGTCCATTTTTAGTTTTTATCTTTGCACCTCTCTGTATTAAAAAGAAAATAAGTATTATTTCTTCTATTAGTAAAATTAAAGAAATATAGCTGTCAGGATTCTCTTTTATATATTCCCCACTCATAAGGGAAGGCAGAGCACAAAATCCCAGAACCTGCTCTCCACTTCCTGAGACCTTGCCCTCTCTTCTGCCTGCACACCTTACCTACTGCTCAAACCTCTTGGGAGGAGCCTGTGGACCTAAAACTTATAGCAGTAGCTAAGCCGACTGGCTTTCCAGGCTTCCCAGAGGGACCAATAAACACTTCTACCCAAAGTGTGCTAAATAAGGGCCTTCAGAGGCAAGCAGCCAGCACCCCCAGGGGAGGGCCTGTGGGGAGGTGCCTAACCCCACTCCTACCTACATAGCCAAGGAGAACCAGCAGCCACCTAGCCCAGGACCTCTGGGGTGTGATGCCACCTGCTGGGCCACGGCCAGCACTTCACCTTCACCAGCCAAGGCAACAGAGCCCATCAAGGTCTCCTGGATGAGCCCCAGGAAGCAGAAACCACTCCCAGGACAGGCCTTGAGCAGAGAGGGTGTGATGTGCCTCCCTGCTGTGCCGACCTTCCCAACTGCCCACTTGTTCGCCTCCCCACTTCAGCCTAGGTCTTCACCATTAAAAAGTAACAACAACAATAACAAAAATCTAGCTGTTTTCACTATTTAAAAAATAATAATATGGGAAGGGGAGGTGATAGTTTTATATATAGTCTTACCTTTGAAATGTCATCTTTACTATTTAGGCCCCTTATCATTGTCTTTTCTCCCTTTCTCTTTCTTTTGCCTCCTCCGTTATGCCCAAGGCCTTATTTCTTTTTTTTTAAATTTTAAACCAAGCCTTTATTATACATTCTTTATATTTAAGAGTCCTTTGTTTATTCAATAAGTAAAACAATACAAAAAATATATAAAGAGAAAGCTAAAAAGCTAATGTTCTTTCCCCATTTCCCCAGCCCTCTCTTCAAGGTTCCACTGTTAACTGGATGGTGGATGATCTTCTAAACCTTCCTCTTTGGGGGAGGGTATAGCTCAGTGGTAGAGTGTGTTCTTAGCATGCATGAGGTCCTGGGTTCAATCCCAGGTACCTCCATTAAAATAAATACATAAATAAAATAAACCTAATACTCCCCCAAAATAAAACATATGAAAAATAAATAAACCTTCCTCTTTGATCATTCCAACAACAGAAGTCTTTGGGGTCTTGTTTCTGCCTCTCCACCCCCACCTCTCTCTCTGATCCCAGGCTCTCTCTCTCAGCCGGCTGAGAGGAAGACGCACGGAGAACAGAGTGTCTATTGCCTCAATTTGCAACACCACCCTCGGAATGAACTTCCTCAGGACCAGGACTAGCAGGAGTGCCCAACTGATATTGGAGGATTTTTGCAGAAGATGGTTTCTTTTGTATCATGGGGTTCTTTAAAAATATTACATGTTCTTTTTCATAAATCTAAGGGGGACAGCAAAAGGGAGAGAAGATGAGAAGGACCGGTGGGAAAGCAAGATAAAAGGAGCCTGGGGGCCTGGACAGTAGTATATTCTACATTTTTTTCTTTCTTTTTTTTTTTGAGAGACGGCGTTATGGATTTTATTCTAAAGGTATGATATTAAACATTGTTTTGTGTTTTATTTTGGATGTTCTATATGACAAAATTGTTTTTTTTTCTTAAGTAGGAAAACAAAGTTGTTCAAACAAAAAAATTATGTAATAATGGGAAATTAATCTACATATATTAGCTTCCTTTTCAATTCTCTTTCCAGACTATGTTTCTTTGACAAATGTCTTTAACAGTATCATCAGATTTTATCTGAAGCAATAGTATAATTAGACCTAGGTCACCTCATTCTCCATCTGTGGGGACCCTCATCTTACCCCCACCCTCCAGCCTCCCACACTCCCAACATCTACAACAAAGCACAACTGTCCCAATCAATTTGATGTATCCTGGACCCTCATTCCCTCAAGGCCTGGGCTGGGCCTCCATTTCCAAATCACCCTTTAAAGGTATAAGGGGATGAACGTTCTGTGTTTCAAGATCCTATAGGAAAAAATTACCAGTGTCATGCACTGGCTGGATATTAGAAGGGAGAGAGGTGAGAAAGTCAAAGTCAGGCTGGTATTCATTCTTAGGGAGAGATGTCTAAGGGTAGGAGGGGGGCACTCTGGAAGCCCTTCATTACAGCACTGAATCTACCCCACCTCCTGGGTGCACTGATGGGGCATCTAGGATATGGGGGTGCTGAGCTGGACCTAGGGATACAGAGAAAAATCAGGAATTTCCCTGACAATGAAGAGGAAGGACACTGCTTAGCAAGGAAGATGGCTGTGAAAACAATAAACTACATTGTGCTTATGAGATGCCTGTAAGAGAGGTCTCTAAGAATGGAAACACAGAAAAGAGCTGCTAATTTTAGCCTGAAGGCCTCACAGAGGAGGCAATATCTGAGCTGAATCTGAAAGGTGAGTAACAGTTCTTCAAGTAGAGCCAGAAAGAGCATTCAAGAAAGAGGGTGTGGAAGAGCCTGGATTTTCTTCAAGCCCCAGGCCAGCTTAGAGGAGAAATGTAAGTTTTCCTTTAATGAGGAAAAGGCACTGAGAACAGAAAAACACATGAAAAAGGAGAGACATACTTGCAATAAAACGGAATAAAAATAATGTTTTGTCAAAGGATATTTTGTTTAATTAAAAAACTTCAAGCAAAGAAAAGTAATGGAAGAAATCTAGGAAAAAAACAAATTTATACAAACAAGTTTTAACGCACAGACTTGGGATGAAGAAATGCTAGGGAATGAGAGCATACATGTAAGCAAAGAAATAGAAACTGGGCCAAGAAGAGGGGGAAAGGTTAAAGAACGATAGAGATAACAGATCTGATACTGAAAACACAAGAAAGTTAATGTGATACGTAAGCTATGTGTGATTCATCAAACAGAGCAGAACAATTAGAAGGGAAAGCCCCCGAGTGCATGAGCAGGGCCAGACGTAGAGAGCCGTCTGAGTTCAAGACTAATGAACCAGGATGAATGACGGACAAGGCTTTTGGGGTCTCCAAGCCTAAAGAACTTGAACCTCAAAGTTCTCATCAGCTAATGAAAGTTTATCATAAAGTACAGAGGCAACATTAATGGAACATATAAGCATGGCCAAGAAACAGTAGTAAATGTTAAAATTTAGTGTGTGGTAAAAAGTGTTACTAAAATCATTATACTGAGTGAAAAAAAGGTTAGATATTGATCTCAAACAATATACCAAAACTTCCAGATAGATCAAAAAACTAAATGTAAAAAATGAAGCTAAAAGAACCTAAAGAAAGAAAGTGATGGGACAATTAACCTGCTTTTAGGATGAGGAAGAAGTTCCTAAGCATTAAAGCAAGGGAAGAAATCACACACGCAAGCACACATACTTGCATACTGACACAAAATGAATGGGTTTACAGTGAAAAACCTTTTAATTTCTCTAAGTAAAAAAATCACAGAATTAAAAAACAAGGGAAATGAAAACTGAGAGAAGTATCTGCATAAAATATGACAAACAACACATATTTACTATACAAAGAAATCATACAGGTCTATGGCCATATCGCCACGATCTTTTTGGAAGCTAAGCAGAGTGGGGCCTGGTTAGTTCTTGGATGGGAGAAATCATGCATGAAAAAAACAAGAAAAAGACAAACTACAAGACAACAGAGAAAGAACAGGAAGAGACAATTCATAGAACATAAATGGTTAATAACGTGAAAAATGTTCTGCCTCACACACAAAAATTAAGCCTTTTTGCAGCTATTAATTGACAACAAGGGAAAAAAGGATGGTACATCATGTTGGTGGCTTTGTGGTAAATAAGTAAACTGACACTATGATTCTGGAAAGCAGTCTGGCGGTACACATCAGAAAGCTCTGAAAAGTGCAAATTGTTGATCCA